TGCAGGTATTCATTTTTGTAGACTCAAATCCTCTGATGAAGTTCCCTGTTTAAAGAACATCATCAGAGCTTTCATTGTTTGGACATTTCTGCTGACGAATGAATCCTCTGTTCAGGATTTATGACTGAATGAAATGATCTCCGTGCACATGTTAATTGTTCGCTTGTTCCTTTAAACAGGTGGCAGTTAAATTTGTCCAGAAGACCCCAAATATGCAAGATGTCAGCTCTGTGAGTAGACTACACTTTCTGTTCGCTGTGTTCAGTTTATAAAGTCTTATATTTATTATAGACCACAGGCTGTGGTCAGAAACCCTTGTTTGAAAACCAACATTATTATTTTGTTTTCAGTCATGTGACCAGCCACTTCCTCTAGAGATCACCTTGGCAAACATGGCCAGCGATGGCTCCAGGTGTTCGAACATTATTCAGCTTCTGGACTGGCAGATCTTTGAAAAACATTATGTCATGGTGATGGAGCGGCCTAGTCCAAGCATGGACCTGGAGGCATTCCTTGAAGTCAGCGGAGGAGTCCTCAGTGAGAAAACAGCACATACCATCATGAGGCAAGCTGTTTATGCGGCCAACGTGTGCTGTTACCGCGGGGTGTTCCACCGGGATATTAAGCTTCAAAACCTGCTGGTGAACCCCGACACACTGGAAGTCAAGCTGATCGACTTCGGGTGTGGAGACTTCATGATGGAATCAGCCTACAGTATCTTCTCTGGTAGGTGTTTTGAATAGTGTGGTCAAAAGTATCGACTTCGGTACCAATCGATTCTGACATTTAACAAGTCAATTTGAGCGCTGTTAAACACCACTGATTGGCCATTGGTGTTCACATGCTCAGCAAATATGACTGTGATGAGTGTCGGTATCGATTGGTAGTTGATACTTTTGACAACACTAGTTATGAATGTGCATAAGCATTATTAATAAACGTATTGAAAGCTGGTTAATTAGCACAGCTGAAGCCCATCTGGTATATATATTCAACATGATGCTAAACTAAACGTCTCTCCTCCAGGCACAGAAGCGTACATCCCGCCAGAGTTTTATGAAAAAGGATGCTACCGGGCCAAACCAGCGACGGTCTATTCTCTTGGGGTTCTTCTGTTCACAATGCTCCATGGAGAATTCCCATCAGCGTATGACCTGTACTACCTCCAACATGACTGGTCCAAATTTACCCTCTCTCAAGGTGAGATGTTCATCAAAGAACAATTAAGTGAAACAGCTTAATAATAATAATAACAATAACCTCACCTCTCCATTTCTTCTTCACAGAATGCTGTGATATGATGAGGGCTTGTCTGCATGAGAATCCAGAGTGCAGAATTCCTCTAGAAGAGATGCCTTACCACGACTGGTCCATGCTGGAGTTCTGAGTCACATTAGCAGAATGTTTTGTATATTTGATTTTTGTACATGTCTGTAATAAAGATATATTTTATTGAACTCACTTGTGTTTGGCTTATATTGTGATCTAGCCCCAGTGTTGTCAGATTGTGTGGATTTAAACTGGTTTTGTATGGGGTGACAAAAATTTGGCATGAGGTTTGAACAGCATCCAGTCCTTTCCAACACACACTGCAGTTGACACTGGCGTCATTACGGCGCACTTTTAGAAATACACTTTTTCAGAATGCTGTACAGCGCTGACCCAAAACCTAAACATATCAGTCACTGCGACATAAGCAAATCATCCATAAATATTCCAATGGTTTATTGTGAAATCAGAGCTGTTCAGAAAAACGTCGTAACATGAGAATGTGAGACTCAATACAAAACATCAGCATTTTCACAATAAGAGCACCCAGTTTTATTAAGGTCGTTAAGTGTTTGTTGCCCTCATGACAATCCTAAACAAAATATTCAGTGATATTCCTTCAAATCAATACTGATAGTGTAGTTTGCGCAGACACAATGAGGATTATCCAGTGTACAGAAGTCTGAATCATCCACATTATTTCATACGCTTCCAGAAACACGTTTACTACACGAATGTCCAGCGTTTGCTACAACTGTTCAACTCTTTAGATGATTCCTTTCTTACAACATCTACAACTATGACAGCTTCTCATTACTCACCATTTCTTAATCTTACTAAATACTTGACTTGATGTCACTTTGTGGACTCTGGGGTCATGTGCAGCATGAGCAGGTCGGCCCCCCGGCGGACCAACACATTTAAGCTTTCGCTGGTCCTCACAGCATTATATATCTCCTCCGACGTGTTCACCTTTACCCCATTGATCTCAATAATAACATCTCCTGGCTTCATTCCGGCTCTGCAAAACAGAAAACAGGAAATGACATCATCAAAGGATGCCTTAATCAACAGCTGATAACATCATGTTCAGAGAGCAGCACACCTGTTGGCTGGAGATCCTACAATCACACGGTGGATGAAAACTCCATGAGAAACATCAGGGAAGGACGGGTCTCGCATCCTTAGCTCTTCGATTATAGTGAGGAGGGGAAAAAGAGAATTTAAAGATAATAAAAGACTCACTTCAGTGCAAAGTTTACAGTTTAAGGATTGATTGATAAATAGATAAGATAGATAGATTCATAGATAGATAGACTGATAGTTTGATAGATAGATCAGCATAACAATCAATGGTATATTTGCTTCAACCAAAAACACCTCAACAAAACATTCATACTACTTCACTCACATAAAGTGTGAAAAAGGAAATGCTGTTAATTTGCAATGCATTGAATTAAAGGTGCAGTAGGTGATTGTCCTCAGAAACATTTTAGTTGTGCTGGTTGAAAGTCTCTTCACAGTCCAATAGTAATGATTAAAGTAAATGATCTAAATGTGTTTTAATGTATTTTATATTCTGGGTAAAGTATAAAACTAAAAAATGTTCATCCCATTAAATATTGTCGGGTCGACATCTCCTGTAATTCAGATAAGCAGCTCAAACTGTCTGTCAGCAAATGCAGATTTCAGGCCATGTGGCTTTGAATCACAGTCCCTCCCCGCAGTCCAAAGATAATATGCTAAGCGGTTAGCATTTTGGCAGATCACCTACTGCACCTTTAATTATTCACAGAAGTGTTCAAATCAATACCACAATTGAACTCGTGTCATTTGGGACAAAAAAAAATGATATTGTTCAACTCTACATTATGATATTGCTTAACTCTACATTATGTATACAAAACTAAAACCTTAAATATCTTGAATTTTACAGGGCTCATACAGGCACAGCCTAATGAAAATCAAGGACTTTTAAGTACTTTTTTCCAGCACCTATTTTTATTTTCAAGACTGACACGCAACGTATTAAAACACTGCATAGGAATTTATATATATACACAAATAAAAACCATTATTGATCATAATAATAATATAATTAATTAATCAATTGTGTATTAATAATATATTAAACCTGCACTAAATGTGCTTGTGAAAATGTTTTTTTATACTATTACACTGCTAAAATAATACAAGTTTTAGTAAATAATACTAACATTGGGTAAAAGTACAAAGTACTCTTTTAAAAACTACTCAGAGTACTAGTTAGATATTTTTGGGGAAAAAAACTCAGATTTTCATTTTGGCTCTTTTTTCAAGAAATGATAATAAATTTATTTGAATGGTTTAATTGCTTGAATCACAAAGCTACATATATAAAAATGTGCACTAACAAAGGAAGTATGGTCGATTTTTCCTTCCATGACAATTAATCTTTTTCAATAGTACTGGCAAAACTACCACATACTCTATAAGACCAGAGACACATTTTGTCCATTTTTTAAACAATATTTTCAAGTTTTGAAAGGTTTAATTAAAGTATATGATAAAAATATTTCAATTTAGCCTTTTATTTACATATTTTACACCATTTTTCTTTTTTGCTCATTCTTGTCTTTACAATATGGCAAATTTGTTTCTTAAATAGCTGTACAGCACATGGAAATATTATTTTACACTTGATCTTAAACTGAAATAATTTTACAAAAAAAGACTAGTACGCTGTCATAAATAATAAATAAAATGATAATAAAGCAAATGGCTTTGTTTAACTCTAGGTATTTGAATTATGACAACACTACATTTTTCAAAGCAGTGTTTGAAGAGTCTTATTGTTTATAATGATCAATTTAACAGCAGATTGCTTTGACCTGTAATGCCTGTACAATTCAGTGATGCTTTAAGACAGATCAGAATACAGCTATAATGTATAAAACCCACAAATACCCCAAACAGAAACATTTCTAGCATAATTCTTTTGTCGTAAAGAAATATAAAAAATTCCAACTTTGCTCAAAGTACAGTAAGTTTTACTTGACGATACAGCCAAATAAAAAGTCTGTACTCTAAATACTAAATTTAGTCAAGGAGCAAAGATAAATAATTTCTACTTTAATATTGAAGAGATCGCGATTGTATACAGTCTGATCACACACACGAGATGATGAGAGGACTTGCAGTTAATTTGAAAAAGCCTATTTAAGAGGTCACATATGTGTTTTTATGATTAATGTACATGACTGCGCTCTCATGTTAAAATAAAGTGCTCACGACGTATGCAGAAATGAGTAATTGCGCAATACCTGCATTCCCACGCCAACATTCAGAAGAGTGACAGACAAGTCAGAAGAAGAGAGCGGAGAAAAGAGAGCAAAATGAGTGTGTAGATCGTTGAAATGGCAGGAAGTATGTTCGTGGTTTAATTACTCTTGCTAATAACATATAGTGAAAACATCCCAAAAGCATTTTTCCATTAAAACATTTGTTTTTAAGTTGTTGTTTTTTTTTTGTCACTGCAACACAGAAAGGCCTTTGTCCCGCCGTTACGTTCAATGTAAAACTAAACAAGGTTGACTGTGATTGGCCACTTCTCATATCATTTAAATCACTGCTTCGGAATCACGGTAGATTGTGGAGGTATTTTTGCATTAAATTGTCACAAAAGTTCACAAACATTTTTATTTTTCGGGCGTGAAAATTGCATACAAATTCTCCTTGATAAATTAAGCACTTTTCAACAAAACAAGCCAATTTTCCAGGTATTCCAGCACTTGAATTTCTAAGAGCCAAATCTAGTGGTAAATAACAAAAATCTGCAGATTCCATAATGTATGAATTTTGCTCTCCTGTAAAATTGTAATAAAAGTGTTTGGCACCTGGGGGTCAAAGTCAACATCATCACTCCAATGTAACGCCTTTTCGATCCCGATTCTCCAAACCAAGACTCTGAAAAAAAGACCCAATAACCATCTGTCAGTGAAAAAAAATTCTGTCACAGACAAAAGCAAGCAGCTGTGAGGTCATTCTTACTCTATTTGTCTGCAGATCGGTCTAGGAAGACTCTGTCTGAGGGAATAGCGAAGGAAATCCCTGCTGTCACTTTCATGGTATTAATGCCGATGACCTCACCATCCTGAAGAGTACAAACATGACACATCAGTTTATTACATAAGGCTAGAGTATGGCCAGTACAATACAATATTGATGAACATTTGAAAACAATTCACGTTCTTAATATGACAGTCATGAAACTCTGTGTTGCTCTGAAGGTCCAGCAATCTGTAGTCAACTACTAAATGTGCACTAATAACTTTCTCCTTCACATTATTGTACAAGGAGGGTACCACCATAGCTGTGAGATACGTTCTACTTGGGATTTCGTAGAGTGGTTCTAGCACACTAATTAAATGCCTAAAACCAGAGTTTTCTACCCCTGAAAAAGGTTGCATGTCTGTGGCTATAAATACTCCTACCCTAATACTCCTACTATTATGCCTACAATTGTCTTTGCTTGTGTTGAGTTACTTGGAATTTTTATTCTAAATGAAGACAGGAGAGTAGTTTGTGTTACACTTGTCGGTTTAACAGATAAAGCAATGATTTTGTGGACATCAGTAATCTAACTATTTGCCTTAATCTGATTAAAACAATAATATGATTAAGATGTTTACATGAGTTGCTTTTTGAATGTTCATTTCATGATCCCGTTTTACATGTTAAAGCACATAATACGATTAACGTCATTGTGTCACCACGCTATCCACGTTTCCTCCGGAGTGTCATGTAATTTTGGGGAGTTTCATTCTTAATTTGTCGACTTTAACTGCAGTTTGGCACTTTCATTTTCATTCAAGAACATTTCATGCGTGCCCCCCATGACAAATGACATATTGGATCCGAGGAACTGCTAGAAGAGTGTAGTTTTAATGGCCTACTTCGCCATCTGAATAACAAGGAACACCGATTGCTTACTTACCAAATCCGTAGAGACAGGACAATCATTGTGAACTGGATTTGCGATTTTTTTTTATAAGAAGACGAGTGGCAAATCTGGATTTCACCATTTATAATACAAAAAGCTCTCGGGTAAAAATGTTCCTTACAAACATTTTTGTTGCGTGTTAGAAGACCACTGTAGTCCACAAATGTGGGTCCTTTCTCATCGCGGGAAAATGAAACAAAACCTTTGTTGTGGCACGTTTATAAACAACACTGACGACCCATGTCTCCGAACAATTCTTCTTCTTCCACTTGTTTTATTTACGATTAGCAACACAACGTCACGTCTCTCTGAATACTGTAACAGGTAGTTTTTGAAGCTATCATGCATATTAATAAAGCTGCACCTCATTCACAATAGAGAGCACTGATTAGTTTGTCTTTCTCTTGAATTAATGATGAAAGCTCAAAGACGTCACATTGTAACCGCCGATACAGACACCCAGTCTCCATGCTGGAATTTACACAAGGAGCTCATGGCCTTGACGTAGCTTCAAAATTTCTTTTTAAACCGGAAGAACGAATTTGTTTGAAATAACGCAAAAACTACCAATTTTCACTTTTATTGTTAAATATGTGTCCTAAGAGTGTTTTTAGCAGCGTGAGACATATATATGACTATTGACATCTCAAAAATGTGTTTTGGTGTTTCGTGACGCTTTAAACCAAAAGGCAGAAGCAGTGAGTTGAGCAAATGTCAGCGACTCACCAGGTTTATGAGAGGCCCTCCTGAATTTCCAAACTGTAAAGCAGAATTGTGATTGAGTGATGGAATGCAATTCATTAAATGATGACATACATTTTTTTTGCATGCAACACCACCCAGTTTCCAGTGCTCTTACATCTATGGTAGCGTCCATCTGGATGTAGTCCATGTTGGAGTTGGAGAGACCCAGTTCTTTACTGCCTCTTTGAGCAGAGCTGACGATTCTAGATGTAATGGTGTTTTTAAGAGAAAAGGGGCTCCCCATGGCAACCACAAATTCACCTTGCCGCACATCAGATGACTTGCCAAGACGCAACGTTGGTAGAAGATTCTGGGACAAGACAGAGAACACAATGACACTATGTCAGACTATATGGCCATGTACTAGAACTGTGGTAAAAGAAAACAGTCAAAAATCAATTGCAAAAATGGCGTTCCAAACATTAAAGCCTCCTCTGTTACTGTTGGTTTACCTAAAATTGTTGACTATAATATTCTGTAGTTGCTGTAATATTACTGCGTTTAAAAATCTGAGGATACGAAACCAAATGTCACTAAGGTTATCACAATTTCGAGTTTATTTCCATATTTGTATGCTGCCGTTCCTCCTGAAATATTACAGTGTGTATGTAGCCTAAATACAGTATAATCAGATTAATGGGTTAACACCAGGGCTTGACATTAACACCCACCAACCGCAGGTAGACTTTAGCTGTGGCGGATTAGACAGCCACTCCCACTATCCACTTTGGCTGGTCGAAAATCATTTTTAAATTGTATTTTTTTTTTGAAGTAGGGTTCAACAATAAGGATGAACCTCTAGAAATGAGAAGCAGCCCGACTGACAAAAACAACTGTGTTCACGCAAGCAAAAGAAAGCAGATGAATACAGAATGTTATGTGATGCGCGCAATTTTTTAAAAGCGTGCACGATCCCATTTCCTTGCGTGAAGCAACCTTGACTGGAAACACAATGCTGCGATCGGTTCTGTTTGAAATAGACTTCACAAAAAGCGATACACATCCACCATTTTCAAGAGCTCGAGATAAAAAAAAAAAGAAGGTATTTTATGTATGCAGCAGCGGTTGCAGCTTCAGCTTTAAACAATCTTTAAACAGATTATTAATGGGCCTAACGTTAACTGTGTGCGTTTGATCATCCTTTTATTATTGCACACGGTATGTTTTTCACCTGCTTTCTTTTTGTTAATATGGTTAAATTATCATTCTTTTCAGTAACATTGATTTAATAGATTAAATTTAATGTATAGTTAACTGCTGATCTGAGACCTTGGTCTTGGAGCTAGGACAGACTACTTTTCATAGTTTTAGACAGGCTACATGACAATAATTGTTATTTAAGTTTTATTTAATAAAAAGTGTTTGCATATTATAACATATATTTCGCTAGTTTTTGAAATTTTAAAATTATTTAACATTTTTGGCTAAGAAATACTTATTAATTAATTAATTTATTTATTTATTTTCCAGTGTGGTCAGAGAAAAAATTGGTACAACCTTAATGTTTAGCCCTGAAATAATTACAAAGCAACACCATGAAACCACTACCACTCATGCTCATTGAGCAATGTCATACACAACACATTTAAATCAAGTAATTTTGCAAATATATTTTCCCAACAACAAAAGTGAAAATGGCGAGTGGCTAGTAAAGTTGAAAAACTACTAGCCATATAGGCTGGTGATCAAAAAAGTTAATGTAGAGCCATTAAAAACATTAAAAATCATATTGACCACACACTTTTAATGTACTAACCGTGACACAATTTTGATTCTATAGGTTTAATTCTTAAATGAACAAAACAATTTTTTTCAAAAAGAAATTACTCATTTGATAAAGACCTTTTACTAAAAATGTAAATTAATAAAATAAAATGAGTCCTTGTTCTTACCATATTAAACTATGACTCAATAAAAATAATGATGCACCGATACCATCTTTTTTGGAACTGATTCGATTTCGATCCCAAAATTCTGAGTATCGACCAATACAGATCCGATCCTGATACTGTGCCATTTTTTTAAGCATAATACAGTTTCTATGGTGTTGTGGTCCAGCTTATGTTTCCTTTTTTAATAGTAAGATTTTTCTTTGAACTCTGCAACAGGCTACCACTATTGACCCTAATCAAAACACAAACTGGTCTGTTAAATAAACTATTGATATAAATAAAATTACAGTCAAATATTCACAGTTTTCAGAGCAGCCGGTACTAGGCTAAATAATTTTCTGTTAATTAAAATCTATATTGTGATTGTCAGTTTCACTTTTATTAATTTAATCAACAACTTTGACCACAATGAGCCAGGCTTACAAACTATCCTAAAAGTATTCCCCTCGAAAGAATAAACTCAGTCGGAAGGATGAGAAAACAGAAACTTTTAATGTTACAGAATAATTTTACAGAGCGGCACACGTCACATCAGCCGGTGTGTGAATGAAGTGCTTGATGCATCACTGAGACAGCTTCCAATCCAAAACAGCATTAAAAAGGGAAGAAATCAGTGCGTTAAGGATCTGTCCAATGTATTATTGAGCCTTTTCTAGTTTTAAATTTCAGGTAGGCCTACTTTGTGTGTGAAGAGCAGGTAATAACCCACTCAGTTCCAGTGTTGCGAATGCGATCTGCTGTTCTAACAGCTACAAGATTTAGAAACAAAAATGAACTCGTCGTTTCAGGCAGAAATGAACCAATATAATATATATTACATTATAATAAATTAATATAATGTAATATAATAAATTAATATTTATTTAAATTAACAGGGACAAATAGTGTTGGAGAAAGTTTTTCATGTTGTCATGAACGTGACACGCAGTTTGAATTGTAAATAAACGGAGAATGATTGACAGGCGCAGCGGAGGGAAGCGCAGAACTGAACATGAATTTAACCATGTGAATATTGATCTGTACTTCACATTAAACTATAGAATGGCTTCAAAACATTTGGGATACAGTAGGCCTACAAGACAACTTTCTACTGTCTTATAAAAGGCTACCTTTCTGGCTTTTGTTTGCTTATAAATTACACAGAATATAGAGCACATGCAAGATGGGATTTGCAGTAAAAATATGCAGTATCAAACCGATATCCAATCCAAGTATCAGGATCGATGCATCCCTAATTAAAAAATTAAATATCCCCAAAAGATAACATATGTTAACAGTACAACCTCAAAGCTCCATCTGTACCTTAACATTGATTTTGATGGTGGCGATGTCTGCAGCCTGGTCCACATCCTGAACTGTGGCGTTGTAAGTCTCACCATTGGTCAGTTTGACAAGAACACCACGCTTGTTGGCGACCACATGGGCATTTGTCACTATCAGGTCATCACTACTTATTATAAAGCCAGAACCATTCGAGATGGGAACGGCCAGAAAAGGGGTGTCTGAAAGAAAGAGTGTAATATTAGTCACAATTCCCAAACACAACTGAAACTAAAACCATCTGGTCATCTTAAAATAGAAACAAGTGATCCAAAAAGTCTCTATAGAGAGAATCAACATAAAACACCCTACTGAAAAAAAAAAACAATCCTGTTGAGCGCGCGCATGTAAAGGTAACTGGGTGAACAAGTCAAACAAAGTATATACACAAGAGAACATAAAAATATACAACAATTCAAAAAAATGAAGCAAGAATAATAAAGATTTAAATAAAACATATAATAGATAGATAGTACAATAATAATAATGATAGTAATAATGTCAGTGAAAATGACAACAGCATTATTAATAACAACAACAACAACTACCACTACCACTTTTGATTACTTAACATTCAGAAATTAAACCGAATTAACAAAAAATATTGTAAATATATGTGTAGTGTTAAAACATTGTTGGGTTTTACAACCCTGCGAAATGTGAGAATGTTTTAACAATAGAAATGATAAAAAAGTAAAGAATTAGGTTAACTTGATTGTTTTTATAAATGTAAGTGAGTTGAACATAAAACAATCAAGTTGCCCCCAATAAACTTAAGAATTGAGTTGCTTCAACACGTTAAATAAGTGTTTTATAAATGTCTGATAACAATAATTTTGTTAATAATTTTTTTGGGAATTTGGGGAAAAATGTTTGGTTCTATTTTTATAGTAATTAAATGTTTATAATTTAAAATGTTTATAATAATTAGATGTTTTGCCGCCTTGTTTTTGAGTTGTGCAATGCAAAAAGACCCTCTTATAGCAAGATTAGGGAAGCACCGAAATGAAGCTTGTTGATTGAAACTGAAAATTCTAGATGCATTTGGCTGAAAACTGACACTGAAAAGGCTTTTTAATAATTGGAAATTATTTTTATAAATAAAAAATATATAGTTTTAAATCAAATTTTATATAAAAAAATAAAGTAATTTGGCGACGCAGTAGGTAGTGCTGTCACCACACAGCAAAAAAGTCGCTGGTTCGAGCCTCGGCTGAGTCAGTTGGCATTTCTGTGTGGAGTTTGCATGTTCTTCCTGCGTATGCGTGGGTTTTCTCCGAGTGCTATGGTTTCCCCCACAGTCCAAAGACATGCGGTACAGGTGAATTGAGTAGGCTAAATTGTCCGTAGTGCATGAGTGTGAATGAGTATGTATGTATGTTTCCCAGAGATAGGTTGCAGCTGGGAGGGCATCCGCTGCGTAAAAACATCTGCTGGATAAGTTGGCGGTTCATTCCGCTGTGGTGACCCCAGATTAATAAAAGGACTGAGTCGAAAAGAAAATAAACGAATGAATGAATAAAGTATTTTTGTGAGGCTTTTAAATTAAACTCAATAACTTAAATTAACAGTGAAATCAATAGTAAAAATAAAAATGATTCCATCATTTACTCACCCTCTGCATATTTGAACTCGTTATGAGTTTCTTTCTTCTGTTAAACACAAAAGAAGACATTTTCAATAATGCTGAAAACCTCTAGCTATTGACTTCCATAGCAGGAAAAATAACTACTATAAAAGTCAATGTTCAGGTTTTCAGCATTATTAAAAATATCTTCTTTTGTGTTCAACAGAGTAAAAAAAACTCATCAGAAATGATGAATTGTCCTTTTTGGGTAAACCACACAACTACTTGCAAATATGCTCAGTTCAGTTTATTCTTCTTCTTTTTTTTTTTTAAAGAGCCTCTATTATGGGTTTTTGAGAATGACCTTCCATGTATTGTGTAACACAGCTCTAAGTGAAGTGAATTATTCAGCTAAGACTTAAATCTGCAAGTGTGCAGTGTTTAAAACTGTTTATTCATTTATAAAAGAGTCGACTCACAGTGCTTCAAATGAATCATCTTGATAAAGAGTCTTAAGCCATGCCGGCGTGACCAGGAAATGGAACTTAAGCCCCGCCCAGGGCCGGATTTACCAATGGGCCTTATAGGCACAGGCCCAGTGGCCCGAGCGCACTTGGGGCCCCTGCGAGGGGGGAGAAGAAAAAGACAATTTCGGGGTGTCTTTTTAGGCTAACTGCAAATAGAACACCTAGTTGGAATAAGCTATTCACGCTTTATGCCCATCGATGCTTGATTGACAGAGACAACATGAGTAAAGAGCAGGGCCAGACGGAATCTGCGGACGTTTTTTGCTATTTCTGTGGAGAATTTTGGTAAAAATCTGCGGATTTCTGTGTAATTATTTTGGGAGTATCCAGCGGAGTATCATAACTTACACCTTAATATATTAAATAAAAAGTAATAAATTACTGAATAAAAACTGAATAAATTCAGATTTACACATTTTTACTCAAGTAAATAAACAGAATTAATGATAGGCTAAAAATCTGCAGAATTCTGTGAAAAATCTGTGGAATTCTGCGGGCGCAGATTCCGTGTGGGCCTAGAAGAGCTATGCAGCATTACAGCCTGAGTGGCGTACCTCGTAATGTGCACAGCAACATCTTTTGACGCGATTGATCATCAACCCGGTTCGAATTCACCATCTGCTGAACTTGTGCTACTTTTTTTCTCCTCATTACATATCAGATTAGAAATATATTTATTTTTAACAGGAAGGAAACATTTTTAATAAATAATGCAAATGCGATATAAAGTCAAGTGCCTCGTGGGTATTTAATAATGTTTAGCCTTAATAAAGGTGCCTCCTTCTCTGTAAAAACTATATTGCTCAGACAACTGTATTTCATCTGAGCAAAAAAATCACATATAACTATTATTATTATGTTTAAATTGTCTTTCTTTCTTTAACTAAACAGAATGCTGTAATTGGTCAAGCGCGGAAACATCAGTTTTGAAAAAACCCGCACTAAACTGAGCGGACTGTAGTGTAACGTTAGTATTTATCATGGATCAAAAATGAGTGGACATGTGGATTTAGCAAACGCGAGAGAAAGAGGAGAGGAGGCATCTTTATTGAGGCATTTTCCATACACACCTTCTTCAAACAGACCCATGATCAGGAGGATGAGGGTATAGAAGAAGACGTTATGGTAACGTTAGATCAGTAAGCTAGCATTAACCAGGCGGAGGAGGCTAACAGCAGCGCAGCGCGGACTGGATTCATCGTGAGAGAAACAGATAGAAAAAGGAGAGAGAGAGGGAGAGAGAAAGGCCCCGAAGAGGAGAGAGACCGGAGAGGAGAAGAGGTATAGTGTGTGTGATTTTCTGATACTTTTAGGTTTATAATCAAGTTGATCTATGCTGTTTGCCAACTTTTCATCACGAGAAGAGTAGAGAGAATACAGGGAGAGGAAGAGAGAGACAGTAAATCATTAATAAGTGTGTGTATTATTAAAGACTCAGATTCATAGAACTGGATTGGAGAGGCATTGTGTGATATAGCCTATGCCATGCAAACAATATGCTCTATCAGTTTGTAAAAGCTCTACATTAAAAATACCCTTAAAAATTATATATATATATATATATATATATATATATAGTACTGTTTCAGTGAACTTGTACAAGTATACTAAAAAAACATTCAATTTATTAGTATTTTTATTCAATGCTTTGAAAAATAAGTTAAATCTTTGTAAATACATATGTACTATATATCATTTATTTAAATATGTGGGCAACAAATTATAGATTCATTTTATTTAAAAAATATTATATTATTATTATTTTTTAAATTCAACTATAGGGGTAGGGCCAGGTAGGGGGCCTTACAAGATAATGTGCCCAGGAGCTCCTGAGTTCTTAATCCAGGCCTGGCCCCGCCTATTTGTTGCACGCGCAATCCCGGGAAAATTAAAAAAAACAATATTGTTGATAAGCCATGGTGGCCATTTCTCTCCGTCTCACGCTGAACGCTGTTGACCAATCACAACAGAGTACAATAGGACCAATCAGTGCAGATTAGCATCGCGTTAGGGAGGGGTGTAGGAAAAAATTAATTGCTAAATAATCATATGCGATTCGCTGCCATAATTTGGTAAAAATAAATGCATATTCTAGGACAATGAAAGTGTTCTTTGACCTTGAATGCCCATCAGCCTGTTGTTGGAGACACAACAGTTTAACTCTGAGTGACTTGAAAAATGAGCCTATTTGCCAAAAAGCCTTCCTTTAAATACGTCATAATTAATATAAAACAAAAGTATATTGTTTGCTTTCATAACTTAAATTACGGTCAATGTAACTGCATAGAGACTCAAAATGTGTGTGTGTGTTTTTTATAATCAGTGAGGGACCACTGACTTCTCAAAATATCACAAGAACGCAAGCATGTTTGGAGTAAATGACGACAGAATTTTCACTTCTCGCCTTTTAATGATTCCTCTCTCTACAGCATATCTCCAAATTAATCAAAAATCAACCCTGAAACGTGTTTCCAAAAATCATCAGAAAATTTACAAGTACAAAAAGAACATTTTTGTGATTTTTTTATTATTATTATTATTTATTATTAAATATATTGCAGGGATAGTAGTACCTGTGTAATATTTTGAAATGAATTTTTTCTACCTGATTTGGGCGTAAAAATGTATTGTTGACCAAATATCATCGATAAATGGGAAAGAAAAATATTGTTTCCATTTCAAAATGTCTTTCAGGAAACATGTTCCACCAATGCGTAAAGCACTTTGAGTGTGCAGGAAACGTGCTATATAAATGTAAGGAATTATTATTATTTATTATTATTTATTCATTTCTATGTGAAACACTTTCATGAGCCCATTTAGCCAATAAGACAAAAACATAGTTTTACTAAAGTAAACTTACATTTATCCACAAAAAATAAACCTGACTGTATTTTTTGTAGTAAAGTCGAGGTTAATTGTGTTAAATATGCCATTTCAGCCTGTAGAATGGCATTTCAAACTGTGGCCTAACAAAAATATAGAAAATAAATATCGAGTTTCTGTAATATAAAACTAAACAATTCCTCTCCCTGTATAGTTCCTAAAGTTATCTAGACAGAAACAAATGTAAGTTAATTTTAACAGAATCACTCAAATAGCAATTAATCTGACTGATGTTAACGTTAAAGGTTTGCGAGTAAAAAGATAAGTAAAAAGGTTTTACTTATCGAGCTTTTAAGTAAAGCAATAGATAGTTTAAAGTTACAGTACCGTTAATATAACATTAATATTTACATTAAGTTACATCAATGTTAGCATTAGCATCAAATGCTAATTAGCGCTACTAGCCTGTGACATACAGTGATAAACGTTAGATCTAATTACACTGACTTTAATTTTCATTGGTTTAATTTGTAATTATTTATTTTATTTATGTTATTTTTTCTTTTTAATTCGCATTTTTCACTTAGTAAAGGCGGGGACTGTTGACTAACGTTAGTAGCTCTAAATTAGTTGACTGGAATGCTGTGACAGTGTTAGCATGTAGCATGTTCACACATAAAATAAGTACAGTCCGCAATTAAAACCATGTCCTGCCTTTTGTTGTAACTTAATAAAATCTACTGCAATTAATGTCAACAAAGAGGTTTAATCCACAAGAATTTGATCATTATTCCTACCTGTTCACATCGGTTCAGTCCTTATTTAGGCTAGAGTGGGTTATTTTTTGAGAATGAATCTGTGGATTTAAATGAATTGTGAGAGTCGATTCATCCTTGACCTATTCATAAATACAACAGTTGCTTTGTTGCTGAATAAATGTCTTATTCACTTAAGACAGTGTCCTACCACCACCTACTGGCGATTTCAGGTAATACATGGATAACTTCATTTTGTTGCATATTTTTCTTTTTAATTTATTATTTGAAGCATTATTCATTTAAAAAGATTTTACAAGAATAACGAATTTATATAATCATAACATATAAAATATAATATAAACGATAATAATAATACTGTTAAAAATGATAAATAATTGATAATGAAAATATAAAATAATTGAAATGAGCTACTCAAAATAAATGAATCATACACACACGCACACACACACACACACACACACACACACGTATAAATATATATAAACATGGTAATAATTCTAATAAAAAGCAATAACGCGGAAAAAGTTGTGCATGACAGAAAAAATACATAGGCCTAAGTGCAAAATTAAATTAATTAATAATTGGAAAAAATGTGTATATAAGCAGGTGGCTGTGTGAGCACATTAAGGCGAATGAGCCAGTCAGTCTAGCGCGGGCCTGCATTAGAAGTTTGTTGTGTTTTAAAAATTCTCTACGTAATACCAAATGGAATTGTGGAACTCTGACATCATCAGTGACAGTATAAAGCTTTTTGACGTAGCAGAAACTCTCATTAGCTTCTTTGGATGTCTAGTAGTTCAGTACTTTCTGCGATTCAACAGTACAGTGATAAAATGGCATTTTCAAAACTGATTAACCGTCTGAAGAAAGCGTTTGGTGTTAAGTGTGCGAACGAACAACCGTGTGAGCCACTCAAACCCACCGGCAGCACGACAGAGAATCACCGTCATCTGATGACCGATGACCCGGCCGTCGCTGCAGGAAAACAGGCAGGGAGACAGAAAAAGAGGAAACTCAAATTGTCTCCCATCTTCTTCGCCTGTTTTTCCAGAAGAAGAGCTACTGTTGTTGGTAAAATAGATTTATGAGCACTTTTAATTACTAAAGCATACTGTTAAACACACCAAACACATCACATAAGTGTTTAAAGATCAGAAATAAACATTAACTGGAAGACATTTTAGAAAGAGTTTCTTAAAGCCACAGTTCACATAAACAAGACAATTCTGTCATAATTTACTCCTTAAACCTGTTTGAGGTGCTTTCAGCCATTGACTTCCACAGTATTTTGTGTTCCTACAATGAAGGTTAATGGCTGCTGATTTCAGGAATTTTCTTCAGAATTTGTAGTTTTGTGTAAAAAACAGAAAAAATAAGAATTATTTGTATTAGGATTTTTTATTTCAGTGAGCTTTGCCTTTAGATATATAGTTTACTTGTTTGCTAATTCAATGCAGAAAACCCATGAAGATCATCAATAAAAACACATTGAGTAATGTTTCTGCAAATGAACTGTTCGAATATCTTGTCAAAAAGAGTTGTAGAGTCATATTAATGATGTTCCTTCCTCTCTTTAGATCAGCTATGTGTGCAGGAGATCCACGAACTTCACGCAGAGCCCATCAGTAGCTCTAAATTCTTCTGCACTGCTGTGAGCAACCTGGAGCTGGAAGTTCTCCAACCTCCAGCTCTTGATGCTCCAGCAGACGAAGATTTGTACTTTAAACCTGAAGTGAACAGCTTTGACTCTGCAGTGGTCATTGAGAACGACTCTGCAGAGCTTCACTTCCCAGAAGACATTGAATCCTCCCTCAGTGAGGACAGCCTGGAGCAAGAGCTTGATAGTCCTCCAAGTTCACCATCCGATGAGGACAATGAACTTCCAGTGAGCCAGCAGTTCATAACAGATGACATCTGTGACTCTGCCCTGGATGAAAACTCGAACCCTCCACCGGATCAGGTCTCACAAGAGGACTCTGCTGTGAAGTCTACAGCAGATGATGGGACCTGCTTGGACAATAGTAAGTTTATTGCTGGAGTTCAGAACATTTGTTTAGGCTCATCAAACTTTGTAAAATTATACAGTTGAAGTCAAAATTATTCGCCCTCCTGTGATTTTTTATTAATATTTTTTAAATATTTCCCAAATGATGCAGAGCAATAAAGTTTAAGTATTCAGAACTTTAAGCTGAACACAGGTATCTTGAAAATATCCAGTAAATATGATGTACTGTCATCACGACAAAGATAAAAGACATCAGTTATTAGAAATGAGTTATTAAAACTATCATGTTCTGAAATCTGACAATAATTCTGACTTCAACTGTTTGTGTTTTTATTTGGTTTATAATTTAATGACATTTTCTTCATTTTTAACAGATGACATCAGCTGCCGATACAAACTCGGAAAGCAGCTTGGTGAAGGAGGTTTCGGCTCCGTGTATGAGGGGATTCGCATACAGGATGGTCTGCAGGTATTCATTTTTGTAGACTCAAATCCTCTGATGAAGTTCCCTGTTTAAAGAACATCATCAGAGCTTTCATTGTTTGGACATTTCTGCTGACGAATGAATCCTCTGTTCAGGATTTATGACTGAATGAAATGATCTCCGTGCACATGTTAATTGTACGCTTGTTCCTTTAAACAGGTGGCAGTTAAATTTGTCCAGAAGACCCCAAATATGCAAGATGTCAGCTCTGTGAGTAGACTACACTTGCTGTTCGCTGTGTTCAGTTTATAAAGTCTTATATTTATTATAGACCACAGGCTGTGGTCAGAAACCCTTGTTTGAAAACCAACATTATTATTTTGTTTTCAGTCATGTGACCAGCCACTTCCTCTAGAGATCACCTTGGCAAACATGGCCAGCGATGGCTCCAGGTGTTCGAACATTATTCAGCTTCTGGACTGGCAGGTCTTTGAAAACCATTACGTCATGGTGATGGAGCGGCCTAGTCCAAGCATGGACCTGGAAGCATTCCTTGAAGTCAGCGGAGGAGTCCTTAGTGAGAAAACAGCACATACCATCATGAGGCAAGCTGTTTATGCGGCCAACGTGTGCTGTTACCGCGGGGTGTTCCACCGGGACATTAAGCTTCAAAACCTGCTGGTGAACCCCGACACACTGGAAGTCAAGCTGATCGACTTCGGGTGTGGAGACTTCATGATGGAATCAGCCTACAGTATCTTCTCTGGTAGGTGTTTTGAATAGTGTGGTCAAAAGTATCGACTTCAGTACCAATCGATTCTGACATTTAACAAGTCAATTTGAGCGCTGTTAAACACCACTGATTGGCCATTGGTGTTCACATGCTCAGCAAATATGACTGTGATGAGTGTCGGTATCGATTGGTAGTTGATACTTTTGACAACACTAGTTATGAATGTGCATAAGCATTATTAATAAACGTATTGAAAGCTGGTTAATTAGCACAGCTGAAGCCCATCTGGTATATATATTCAACATGATGCTAAACTAAACGTCTCTCCTCCAGGCACAGAAGCGTACATCCCGCCAGAGTTTTATGAAAAAGGATGCTACCGGGCCAAACCAGCGACGGTCTATTCTCTTGGGGTTCTTCTGTTCACAATGCTCCATGGAGAATTCCCATCAGCGTATGACCTGTACTACCTCCAACATGACTGGTCCAAATTTACCCTCTCTCAAGGTGAGATGTTCATCAAAGAACAATTAAGTGAAACAGCTTAATAATAATAATAACAATAACCTCACCTCTCCATTTCTTCTTCACAGAATGCTGTGATATGATGAGGGCTTGTCTGCATGAGAATCCAGAGTGCAGAATTCCTCTAGAAGAGATGCCTTACCACGACTGGTCCATGCTGGAGTTCTGAGTCACATTAGCAGAATGTTTTGTATATTTGATTTTTGTACATGTCTGTAATAAAGATATATTTTATTGAACTCACTTGTGTTGTGGCTTATATTGTGATCTAGCCCCAGTGTTGTCAGATTGTGTGGATTTAAAATGGTTTTGTATGGGGTGACAAAAATGAGGTTTAAACAGCATCCAGTCCTTTCCAACACACACTGCAGTTGACACTGGCGTCATTACGGCGCACTTTTAGAAATACACTTTTTCAGAATGCTGTACAGCGCTGACCCAAAACCTAAACATATCAGTCACTGCGACATAAGCAAATCATCCATAAATATTCCAATGGTTTATTGTGAAATCAGAGCTGTTCAGAAAAATGTATTAAAATACAAACGTCGTAACATGAGAATGTGAGATTCAATACAAAACATCAGCATTTTCACAATAAGAGCACCCAGTTTTATTAAGGTCTTTGAGTGTTTGTTGCCATCATGACAATCCTAAACAAAATATTCAGTGATATTCCTTCAAATCAATACTGATAGTGTAGTTTGCGCAGACACGCTGAGGTTTATCCAGTGTACAGAAGTCTGAATCATCCACATTATTTCATACGCTTCCAGAAACACGTTTACTACACGAATGTCCAGCGTTTGCTAAAACTGTTCAACTCTTTAGATGATTCCTTTCTTACAACATCTCCAACTATGACAGCTTCTCATTACTCACCATTTCTTAATCTTACTAAATACTTGACTTGATGTCGGACCTGGCGGACCACCACATTTAAGCTTTTGCTGGTCCTCACAGCATTATATATCTCCTACGACGTGTTCACCTTTACCCCATTGATCTCAATAATAACATCTCCTGGCTTCATTCCGGCTCTGCTAAACAGAAAACAGGAAATGACATCATCAATAGGATGCCTTACTCAACAGCTGATAACATCATGTTCAGAGAGCAGCACACCTGTTGGCTGGAGATCCTACAATCACACGGTGGATGAGAACTCCATGAGAAACATCAGGGAAGGACGGGTCTCGCATCCTTAGCTCTTCGATTATACTGAGGAGGGGAAAAAGAGAATTTAAAGATAATAAAAGACTCACTTCAGTGCAAAGTTTACGGTTTAAGGATTGATTGATAAATAGATAAGATAGATAGATTCATAGATAAATTGATTGATTAATTGATAGTTTAATAGACAGATCAGCAAAACAATCAATATTACATTTGCTTCAACCAAAAACACTTCAATGTCTGCGGTTTAATTACTCTTGCTAATAACATAGTAAAAACATCTGAAAAGCATTATTCCCATAATACATTTGTTTTTCAGTTGTTTTTTTCTGTCACTGCAACACAGAAAGGCCTTTGTCCCGCCCTTACATTTCAGGTAAAACTAAACAAGGTTGACTGTGATTGGCCACTTCTCATATCATTTAAATCACTGCTTCGGAATGACGGTAGTTTGTGCAGGTATTTTTGCATTAAATTGTCACAAAAATTCACAAACATTTTTATTTTTCGGCGTGAAAATTGCATACAAATTCTCCTTGATAAATTAAGCACTTTTCAACAAAACAAGCCAATTTTCCAGGTATTCCAGCACTTGAATTTCTAAGAGCCAAATCTAGTGGTAAATAACAAAAATCTGCAGATTCCATAATGTATGAATTTTGCTCTCCTGTAAAATTGTAATAAAAGTGTTTGGCACCTGGGGGTCAAAGTCAACATCATCACTCCAATGTAACGCCTTTTCGATCCCGATTCTCCAAACCAAGAGTCTGAAAAAAAGACCCAATAACCATCTGTCAGTAAAAAAAAATTCTGTCACAGACAAAAGCAAGCAGCTGTGAGGTCATTCTTACTCTATTTGTCTGCAGATCGGTCTAGGAAGAGACGGACTCTGTCTGAGGGAATAGCGAAGGAAATCCCTGCTGTCACTTTCATGGTATTAATGCCGATGACCTCACCATCCTGAAGAGTACAAACATGACACATCAGTTTATTACATAAGGCTAGAGTATGGCCAGTACAATACAATATTGATGAACATTTGAAAACAATTCACGTTCTTAATATGACAGTCATGAAGCTCTGTGTTGCTCTGAAGGTCCAGCAATCTGTAGTCAACTACTAAATGTGCACTAATAACTTTGCCTTTTACCTTATTGTACAAGGAGGGTACCACCATAGCTGTGAGATACGTTCTACTTGGGATTTCGTAGTGTGGTTCTAGCACACTAATTAAATGCCTAAAACCGGAGTTTTCTACCCCTGAAAAAGGTTGCATGTCTGTGGCTATAAATACTCCTACCCTAATACTCCTACTATTATGCCTACAATTGTCTTTGCTTGTGTTGAGTTACTTGGAATTTTTATTCCAAATGAAGACAGGAGAGTAGTTTGTGTTTCACTTGTCGGTTTAACAGATAAAGTAATGATTTTGTGGACATCAGTAATCTAACTATTTGCCTTAATCTGATTAAAACAATAATATGATTAAGATGTTTACATGAGTTGCTTTTTGAATGTTCATTTCATGATCCCGTTTTACATGTTAAAGCACATAATACGATTAACGTTATTGTGTCACCACACTATCCACGTTTCCTCTATAATTTAGTCTCATAATAAGTCTCACGTAATTTAGGGGCGTTTCATTCTAAATTTGTCGACTTTAACTGCAGTTTGGCACTTTCATTTTCATTCAAGAACATTTCATGCGTGCCCCCATGACAAACGAGAAACTGGATGCAAAGAACTGCTAGAAGAGTGTAGTTTTAATGGAATTTTGGATACCGCGCGTCGTATGGGAGAAACAAAAAACCTCCGCAGAGAATAGTGTCAAGCAGCCGTGTGTGTAGAGATCATCCCGTTACAAAATGTGGCGAAAATCCTACAAGATGGTAATAGTTTGATTAAGGTGTTTACATGTTTACATTCAGAGAGCAGCATTTACAGCAGATCTTTCAGTCCATAATATTGTAGTGATATTAAAAGAGTACTGCTGACGATACTAACTACCTTTGCCATCTGAATAAACAAACAAAGAACACTGATTGCTCACTTACCAAATCCACAGAGACAGGACAATCAACGCGAACTGGAACTGCATCTTTTTTTAAAAGAAGACGATGAGCAAATCCGGATTTCACCATTTCCAGATGCGAAAAGCTCTCGGGTAAAAATGTTCCTCACAAACATTTTTGTTGCGTGTTAGAAGACCACTGTAGTCCACAAATGTGGGTCATTTCTCACTGCGGGAAAATGAAAACAAAACCTTTGTTGTGGCACGTTTATAAACAACACTGACGACCCATGTCTCCGAACAATTCTTCTTCTTCCACTTGTTTTATTTACGGTTAGCAACACAACGTCGCGTCTCTCTGAATACTGTAACAGGTAGTTTTTGAAGCTATCATGTATATCAATAAAGTTGCACCTCATTCACAATAGAGCGCACTGATTAGTTTGTCTTTCTCTTGAATTAATGATGAAAGCTCAAAGACGTCACATTGTACCCGCCGGTACAGACACCCAGTCTCCATGCTGGAATTTACACAAGGAGCTCGTGGCCTTGACGTAGCTTCAAAATTTCTTTTCAAACCGGAAGAACGAATTTGTTCGAAATAACGCAAAAACAACCAATTTTCACTTTTATTGTGAAATATATGTATCCTAATAGTGTTTTTAGCAGCGTTGAACATATATATGACTGTCAACATCTCAAAAATGTGTTTTGGTGTTTTTGGACCCTTTAAACCAAAAGGCAGAAGCAGTTTTTTGAGTAAATGTCAGCGACTCACCAGGTTTATGAGAGGCCCTCCTGAATTTCCAAACTGTAAAGCAGAATTGTGATTGAGTGATGGAATGCAATTCATTAAATGATGACATACATTTTTTTTTGCATGCAACACCACCCAGTTTCCAGTGCTCTTACATCTATGGTAGCGTCCGTCTGGATGTAATCCATGTTGGAGTTGGAGAGACCCAGTTCTTTACTGTCTCTCTGAGCAGAGCTGACGATTCCAGATGTGATGGTGTTTTTAAGAGAAAAGGGGCTCCCCATGGCAACCACAAATTCACCTTGACGCACATCAGATGACTTGCCAAGACGCAACGTGGTAGAGGATTCTAGGACAAGATGGAGAAAACAATGACACTATGTCAGACTATATGGTCATGTACTAGAACTGTGGTAAAAGAAAACTGAAAAATTAATAGCAAAAATGGCTTTCCAAACATAAAAGCCTCCTCTGTTACTGTTCAAGGCTCAAAATTAACCTTTTTGTTTGGTAGCACCGGTGCTCCTAACTTAAAAAATGTAGGCGCATCAGACAAAATTTTGTCGCACCCACCAATTATAAGCAACGTTACTACATGTTTTATACAAACAGAGTTATTGCATTTGAAATCAACACTAATCAAACTAAAAAGCAAAAAAAATATATATATATATATGCATGCGTGAGGAAAATATGTCTCAACGAAATCCCGTTATTACAAGTAAATAGATTTTATAACATAACTGAGTGACCAAAGCATACACAGACCGCTGTGCTGTTCTCATGGGTGGTGTCTGATATTGCACTGATGCTTTCGACATGTACTGTACCCTATTATATGCATACATCATGTTAATAGCTATACCGGTCTTCATGAGTAGCGATAATAGTTTTCTCGGCTCAAGGCCGTTTGCCACTGTGTACGTGGTGTTACATTTTACATATAGCTGCCACTTGCACGGCGGGCATCTGGCGATTATATGAAGGATAAAACAGAAGCTCTCGTGCTAGATGTGGCAAACAGTTACCTGAAAATTCCATCCCACAGACTTTTCATAGCGGACTTGAAGCCAATGGAAGTCTTTTATTCACTCTTTGAAAAGTGTAGATGTGTGATTGACATTCAGCGCATGATCACTACTAAGATGTGTCATTATTTGTAACTTTAGATGACAGTTTCTAAAAAAACATCTGTCAGTGTAATCTTAATTCTCATCTTCAGCGCTTTATAATTTTTCGCAGTAGTAGCTCTCCCAGTCATCCCAAACCAGAAGGCATTGACTGAGTGATTGACAGCTGATATTAACCAATCCATTCACGCTCTGTTCTAGAGCAATGGCCCAATAAGAAGAGCTCAAAGGCGGGGCAAGTATTATGAACTTGGCTTTGTTTACTGCAGCAAGTTGACATGACAACTGTTGTAAACCATTCCTAAGAACTACGTTTCGCATTTCAAGAGCAGAGATGCATTCTGCGTGAATGTCCTCCAAATCCGTGCATATGGTGAACACTTTGCAGTAAAAACTGGTCGCACACATCAATTTTATGCACTCGCAAAAATGCTTCCAAATATATTTTGAGGTCGCATAGATAAAATTTCGGGCGCATAAGTGACCGAAATGGTCGCAATTTCGAGCCCTGCTGTTGGTTTAACTAAAAATGTTGACAATAATTATTCTTTAGTTGCTGTAATATTTCTGTTTAAAAATCTGAGGATACAAAACCAAATGTCACTAAGGTTATCACAATTTCGAGTTTATTTCCATATTTGTATGCAGCTGTTACTCCTGAAATATTACAGCGTGTATGTAGCATAAATACACTACAAACAGATTAATGGGTTAACACCAGGGCTTGACATTAACACCCACCAACCGCAGGTAGACTTCGGCTGTGGCGGATTAGACAGCCACTCCCACTATCCACTTTGGCTGGTCGAAAATCACTTTTAAATTGTATTTTTTTTTTTGAAGTAGGGTTCAACAATAAGGATGAACCTCTAGAAATGAGAAGCAGCTCGACTGACAAAAACAACTGTGTTCACGCAAGCAAAAGAAAGCAGATGAATACAGAGTGTTATGTGATGCGCGCAAGTTTTTAAAAGCGTGCACGATCCCATTTCCATGCGTGAAGCAACCTTGACTGGAAACACAATGCTGCGATCGGTTCTGTTTGAAATAGACTGGACAAAAAGTGATACACATCCACCATTTTCAAGAGCTCGAGATTTTTTAAAAAGAAGGTATTTTATGTATGCAGCAGCAGTTGCAGCTTTAGCTTTAAATAATCTTTGAACAGATTATTAATGGGCCTAACGTTAACTGTGTGCGTTTGATCATCCTTTCATTATTGCACACGGTATGTTTTTCACCTGCTTTCTTTTTGTTAATATGATTTAATTATCATTCTTTTCAGTAATGTTGATTTAATAGATTAACTTTTATGCAAAGTTAACTGCTGATCTGAGACCTTAAACTAGGACAGACAGCTTTGCATAGTTTTAGACAGGCTACATGACAATAATTATTTTTTAAGTTTTATTTAATAAAAAGTGCATGAATATTATAAAATATATTTTGCTGGTTTTTGAATTTTTCTAATTATAAACTTTTTAGAGAAAAAATTGGTACAACCTTAATGTTGAGCCCTAAAATAATAACCAATTACAATGCAACACCATGAAACCACTACCGCTCATACTCATTGAGCAAAGTCATACACAACACATCTAAATCAAGTAATTTTGCAAATATTTTTTCCCAAAAACAAAAGTGAAAATGGTGAGTGGCTAGGAAAGTTGAAAAACTACTAGCCATATAGGCTGGTGATCAAAAAAGTTAATGTAGAGCCATTAAAATATTAAAAATCATATTGACCTCACACTTTTAAAGTACTAGCCGTGATACATTTTTGATTCTTTAAGCTCAATTCTTAAATAAACACAGTTCAAAAAGAAATTACTCATTTGATAAAGACATTTTACTAAAAATGTAAATTAATAAAATAAAATGAGTCCTTGCTCTTACCATATAAAACTATGACTCATTAAAAATAGGGATGCACCGATACCATTTTTTTATAACCGATTTGATTTCGATCCCAAAATTCTGAGTGTCGACCAATACAGATGCGATCCCGATACTGTGCCATTTTTCTTTTAAGCATAATATAGTTTCTATGGTGATAAACTCAAACAATAAATCTTGTTTAGTAAAAATAAAAGACGTATAGGCCTACTGTATATGACAGACGACACAATCTAACTGAAAACATGATGCTTGCTGTAAACCAGGAAACATTATTTGAGGATTTGTTAAGACATTGATCTGTTGTGGTCCAGCTTATGTTTCTTTTTAATAGTAAGATTTTTCTTTGAACTCTGCAACAGGCTACCACTATTGACCCTAATCAAAACACAAACTGGTCTGTTAAATAAACTATTGATATAAATAAAATTACAGTCAAATATTCACAGTTTCAGAGTAACCTATATGAGGCTAAATTATTTTCTGTTAATGACAATCAATATTGTGCCTGTCAGTTTCACTTTTATTAATTTAACCACAATGAGCCAGGCTTACAAACTATCCTAAAAGTATTCCCCTAGGAAGAATAAACTCAGTCGGATAATTCTACAGAGCGGCACACGTCACATCAGCCGGTGTGTGAATGAAGTGCTTGATGCATCACTGAGACAGCGCGCAGTACTCCGCTATCTGCAGACACTTCCAATCCAAAACAGCAGTAAAAAGGGAAGAAATCAGTGCGTTAAGGATCTGTCCAATGTATTATTGAGCCTTTTCGAGTTTTAAATTTCAGGTAGGCCTACTTTGTGTGTGAAGAGCAGGTAGTAATCCACTCAGTTCCAGTGTTGTGAATGCGATCATCTGATCCAACAGACACAGCGCTACATGATTCAGAAACAGCAATAAACTCCTCGTTTCAGGTCGAAATGAACCAATTTAATGCAAAACTAAATGCATTTCTCCACTGATTATTTATATTAACAGGAACAATTAGTCTTGGAGAAAGTTTTAAAATAGAAGGCTTTAGACCGAAAATAGGAGATGTTAAACTTTCTGCACTGGCTTATATTCCAAATCCTGTAAATATTTCACTGAATCATAATAACCTACAGTGCTTCAAAATCATAGAACAGGAAGAGCTAGATAAAATCATAAATAGTTCTAAAGCAGCTACGTGTATGCTGGACTCAATTCCAACAAAATTACTGAAAGAACTGCTACCTGCTATAGGAGAACCTCTTCTTAACATTATCAACTCTTCGTTGTCTATAGGCCATGTTCCAAACTCTTACAAGCTAGCTGTTATTAAGCCTATTATTAAGAAACCGCAACTGGACCCCAACAACTTAGCTAATTATAGGCCTATTTTAAATCTTCCATTTCTGTCTAAAATACTAGAAAAAGTTGTTTCTACTCAATTATGCTCCTTTCTGCAGACAAACAATATTTTGAAGTTGTTCAGTCAGGTTTCAGGGCTCATCACAGTACAGAAACCGCATTAGTGAAAATAACCAATGATTTACTCTTAGCTGCTGACCAAGGGTGCATCTCGCTATTAGTTCTACTCGATCTTAGTGCGGCATTTGACACCATTGACCACAATATCCTCATAAATCGCTTAAAGTCTACAGGTGTCCAGGGACAAGCTCTACAATGGTTTAAGTCATACTTAACTGACCATTACCAGTTTGTGAATATTAATGGACAGCCTTCACAAGTCAGCCCAGTAAAGTATGAGGTGCCTCAAGGATCAGTTTTAGGCCCTTTACTGTTTACAATTTACATGCTACCACTGGGAGACATTATTAGAAGACATGGGATCAGCTTTCACTGCTATGCAGATGATACTCAATTATATATTTCAACTAAACCTGATGAGATGTCTGAACTGTCTAAGCTAACTGAGTGTATTAGAGATGTTAAAGACTGGATGACCAACAATTTTCTTCTATTAAACTCAGACAAAACAGAATTATTACTTATTGGACCTAAATCCTGTACACAGCAGATCTCGCAACTCAATCTACAATTAAAGGGACACAAAGTTAGCGTTAGCTCTACTATAAAATATCTGGGTGTCATATTAGACAGCAATTTAACTTTTGAAAATCATAAATCCCACGTCACAAAAACTGCCTTCTTTCATCTGAGAAAAATCGCTAAATTACGAAGTATGCTATCCATCTTGGATGCAGAAAAGCTAGTCCATGCTTTTATGACTTCTAAGCTGGATTACTGTAATGCTCTATTTGCTGGCTACCCAGCATTTTCTATTAACAAACTTCAATTAGTACAAAATGCACCTGCCAGAGTTCTTACCAGGTCTAGAAAATATGATCATTTCACCCCAATTTTATCCTTACACTGGCTGCCTGTTAAGTTTTGTATAGAATTAAAAATATTACTTCTCACCTATAAAGCTCTAAATAATCTAGCTCCTGTTTATCTAACCAACCTTCTGTCTCGCTACAAACCAACTCGCTCTTTAAGATCTCAAAATTCAGGGCTTCTGGTAGTATCTAGAATAACAAAGTCAAGAAAAGGAGGTCGAGCCTTCTCCTTTATGGCTCCTACACTCTGAAATAGCCTTCCTGATAACATCCGAGGCTCAGACACACTCTCCCAGTTCAAAACTAGATTAAAGACCTATCTGTTTAGTAAAGCATACACTCAATGCATCACTTAGCCGGTTTCCACACAAGTTTCTACATCTTGTTTATTATGAACAGCAGCTACGGTAATTATTCTCTTTTTTTTTTTTCTCCATTTCCACCTGGGGATACTCATTCCGAGGTCTTTAGATTATCTGGAGTCACTGATTGGATCCAAGACCAGCGACGAGATGATCCCAAGGTGTCCATATCCAGGACCAGGCCATATCCTGAGCTGCTGCTGTGCTGGTGGTCATGGGGGAGTGGAGAACATGAGTCTGATTCCAGTGACCAACCAGGGACTGACTAGTCTTCACTGAGGCCAGCTTCCAGCCTTCACCGCTGAGACTGCAGCTCTACACTAACTTTTGGCCAGCGGAGAAATTAAAATGGTCGTGCCTGAAGGATTCAGATTTCTGCTTTCCAATCCGTCTCATCATGGACCAACGTTTATCCTTTTCTCATCATATTGTTTCTCATAATTTTTTTTATTAAATATAATTATTTGATCATTTAAATGAGTATTTAACTGTGAATTCATTTTAATTAATGAATAGGTTAACACATTGCTTAATATAAGAATGTTCAGTGCATTTGCCTGTCTCTTTATAACTATTTTCAGAAGCCATCAAACTAGGTTAGAGGTCAAGATATAAATGGGAAAGAAAAATATTGTTTCCATTTCAAAATGTCTTTCGGGAAACATGTTACCCCCAATGTGTAAAGCAATTTGAGTGTGCAGAAAAATTGCTATATAAATGTAAGGAATTATTATTATTAATTATTATTTATTCATTTCTATGTGAAACACTTTCATGAGCCCATTTAGCCAATAAGACAAAAACATAGTTTTACTAAAGTAAGCTTACATTTATCCACACAAAATAAACCTGACTGTATTTTTTGTAGTAAAGCCGTGATTAATTGTGTTAAATATGCCATTTCAGCCTGCAGAATGGCATTTCAAACTGTGGCCTAACAAAAATATAGAAAATAAATATCGAGTTTCTGTAATATAAAACTAAATAATTCCTCTCCCTGTATAGTTCCTAAGGTTATCTAGTGTAATATTAAGGTAAACAAATGTAATATTAACAGAATTAGCAATCAATCTGACTGATGTTAACGTTAAAGATTTGATTGAGCTTTTAAGTAAAACAATAATTAGTTTAACGTTACAGTACCGTTAATATAACATTAATATTTACATTACAGTAACATTAAGTTGCATCAATGTTAGCATTAGCATCAACTGCTAATTAGCGCTAGCTAGCTAGCCTGTGTGACATACAGTAATAAACGTAAGATCTAATTACACTGACTTTAATATTCATTGGTTTAATTTGTAATTGTTTATTCGCAATTATTCGCGTATTGTTTAATTCGCATTTTTCACTTAGTAAAGGCGGGGACTGTTGACTAACGTTAGTAGCTCTAAATTAGTTGACTGGAACGCTGTGATGGTGTTAGCATGTAGCATGTTCACACATAAAATAAGTACAGTTCGCAATTAAAACCATTACCTACCTTTTGTTGTAAGTTAACTTAATAAAATCTACTGCAATTGATGTCAACAAAGATGTTTAATCCACAAGAATTTGATCATTATTCCTACCTGTTAGCGTTCACATCGGTTCAGTCCTTATATGTTAGGCTAGAGTGGGTTATTTTTTGCGAATGAATCTGTGGATTTAAATAAATTGTGAGAGTCGATTCATCCTTGACCTATTCATAAATACAACAGTTGCTTTGTTGCTGAATAAATGTCTTATTCACTTAAGACAGTGTCCTACCACCACCTACTGGCGGTTTCAGGTAATATATGGATAATTTCATTGTGTTGCATATTTTTCTTTTTAATTTATTATTTGAAGCATTATTCATTTAAAAAAAGAATTCACAAGAATAACGAATTTATATAATATATAAATATAAAATAAATAAAATGAGAAATGAAAAAATCACACACACACACACACACACGCACGCACGCACGCACGCACACACACGTATAAATATATATAAACATGGCAATAATTGTAATAAAAAGTAAAACGCAGAAAAAGTTGTGCATGACAGAAAAATACATAGGCCTAAGTGCAAAATTAATTTAATTAATAATTGGAAAAAATGTGTATAAGCAGGTGGCTGTGTGAGCACATTAAGGCGAATGAGCCAGTCAGTCTAGCGCGGCCCTGCATTAGAAGTTTGTTGTGTTTTAAAAAGTCTCTACGTAATACCAAATGGAATTGTGGAACTCTGACATCATCAGTGACAGTATAAAGCTTTTTGACGTAGCAGAAACTCTCATTAGCTTCTTTGGATGTCTAGTAGTTCAGTACTTTCTGCGATTCAACAGTACAGTGATAAAATGGCATTTTCAAAACTGATTAACCGTCTGAAGAAAGCGTTTGGTGTTAAGTGTGCGAACGAACAACCGCGTGAGCCACTCGAACCCACCGGCAGCACGACAGAGAATCACCGTCATCTGATGCCCGATGACCCGGCCGTCGCTGCTGGAAAACAGGCAGGGAGACAGAAAAAGAGGAAACTCAAATTGTCTCCCATCTTCTTCGCCTGTTTTTCCAGAAGAAGAGCTACTGTTGTTGGTAAAATAGATTTATGAGCACTTTTAATTACTAAAGCATACTGTTAAACACACCAAACACATCACATAAGTGTTTAAAGATCAGAAATAAACATTACTGGAAGACATTTTAGAAAGAGTTTCTTAAAGCCACAGTTCACATAAACAAGACAATTCTGTCATAATTTACTCCTTAAACCTGTTTGAGGTGCTTTCAGCCATTGACTTCCACAGTATTTTGTGTTCCTACAATGAAGGTTAATGGCTGCTGATTTCAGGAATTTTCTTCAGAATTTGTAGTTTTGTGTAAAAAACAGAAAAAATAAGAATTATTTGTATTAGGATTTTTTATTTCAGTGAGCTTTGCCTTTAGATATATAGTTTACTTGTTTGCTAATTCAATGCAGAAAACCCATGAAGATCATCAATAAAACACATTGAGTAATGTTTCTGCAAATGAACTGTTCAAATATCTTATCAAAAAGAGTTGTAGAGTCATATTAATGATGTTCCTTCCTCTCTTTAGATCAGCTATGTGTGCAGGAGATCCACGAACTTCACGCAGAGCCCATCAGTAGCTCTAAATTCTTCTGCACTGCTGTGAGCAACCTGGAGCTGGAAGTTCTCCAACCTCCAGCTCTTGATGCTCCAGCAGACGAAGATTTGGACTCTAAACCGGAAATGAACAGCTTTGACTCTGCAGTGGTCATTGAGAACGACTCTGCAGAGCTTCACTTCCCAGAAGACATTGAATCCTCCCTCAGTGAGGACAGCCTGGGGCAAGAGCTTGATAGTCCTCCAAGTTCACCATCTGATGAGGACAATGAATCTCCAGTGAGCCAGCAGCTCATAACAGATGACATCTGTGACTCTGCCCTGGATGAAAACTGGAACCCTTTACCGGATCAGGTCTCACAAGAGGACTCTGCTGTGAAGTCTACAGCAGATGATGGGACCTGCTTGGACAATAGTAAGTTTATTGCTGGAGTTCAGAACATTTGTTTAGGCTCATCAATCTTTGTAAAATTATACAGTTGAAGTCAAAATTATTCGCCCTCCTGTGATTTTTTATTAATATTTTTTAAATATTTCCCAGATGATGCAGAGCAATAAAGTTTAAGTATTCAGAACTTTAAGCTGAACACAGGTATCTTGAAAATATCCAGTAAATATGATGTACTGTCATCACGACAAAGATAAAAGACATCAGTTATTAGAAATGAGTTATTAAAACTATCATGTTCTGAAATCTGACAATAATTCTGACTTCAACTGTTTGTGTTTTTATTTGGTTTATAATTTAATGACATTTTTTTCATTTTTAACAGATGACATCAGCTGCCGCTACAAACTCGGAAAGCAGCTTGGTGAAGGAGGTTTCGGCTCCGTGTATGAGGGGATTCGCATACAGGATGGTCTGCAGGTATTCATTTTTGTAGACTCAAATCCTCTGATGAAGTTCCCTGTTTAAAGAACATCATCAGAGCTTTCATTGTTTGGACATTTCTGCTGACGAATGAAACCTCTGTTCAGGATTTATGACTGAATGAAATGATCTCCGTGCACATGTTAATTGTTCGCTTGTTCCTTTAAACAGGTGGCAGTTAAATTTGTCCAGAAGACCCCAAATATGCAAGATGTCAGCTCTGTGAGTAGACTACACTTTCTGTTCGCTGTGTTCAGTTTATAAAGTCTTATATTTATTATAGACCACAGGCTGTGGTCAGAAACCCTTGTTTGAAAACCAACATTATTATTTTGTTTTCAGTCATGTGACCAGCCACTTCCTCTAGAGATCACCTTGGCAAACATGGCCAGCGATGGCTCCAGGTGTTCGAACATTATTCAGCTTCTGGACTGGCAGATCTTTGAAAAACATTACGTCATGGTGATGGAGCGGCCTAGTCCAAGCATGGACCTGGAGGCATTCCTTAAAGTCAGCGGAGGAGTCCTCAGTGAGAAAACAGCACATACCATCATGAGGCAAGCTGTTTATGCGGCCAACGTGTGCTGTTACCGCGGGGTGTTCCACCGGGACATTAAGCTTCAAAACCTGCTGGTGAACCCCGACACACTGGAAGTCAAGCTGATCGACTTCGGGTGTGGAGACTTCATGATGGAATCAGCCTACAGTATCTTCTCTGGTAGGTGTTTTGAATAGTGTGGTCAAAAGTATCGACTTCGGTACCAATCGATTCTGACATTTAACAAGTCAATTTAAGCGCTGTTAAACACCACTGATTGGCCATTGGTGTTCACATGCTCAGCAAATATGACTGTGATGAGTGTCGGTATCGATTGGTAGTTGATACTTTTGACAACACTAGTTATGAATGTGCATAAGCATTATTAATAAACGTATTGAAAGCTGGTTAATTAGCACAGCTGAAGCCCATCTGGTATATATATTCAACATGATGCTAAACTAAACGTCTCTCCTCCAGGCACAGAAGCGTACATCCCGCCAGAGTTTTATGAAAAAGGATGCTACCGGGCCAAACCAGCGACGGTCTATTCTCTTGGGGTTCTTCTGTTCACAATGCTCCATGGAGAATTCCCATCAGCGTATGACCTGTACTACCTCCAACATGACTGGTCCAAATTTACCCTCTCTCAAGGTGAGATGTTCATCAAAGAACAATTAAGTGAAACAGCTTAATAATAATAATAACAATAACCTCACCTCTCCATTTCTTCTTCACAGAATGCTGTGATATGATGAGGGCTTGTCTGCATGAGAATCCAGAGTGCAGAATTCCTCTAGAAGAGATGCCTTACCACGACTGGTCCATGCTGGAGTTCTGAGTCACATTAGCAGAATGTTTTGTATATTTGATTTTTGTACATGTCTGTAATAAAGATATATTTTATTGAACTCACTTGTGTTGTGGCTTATATTGTGATCTAGCCCCAGTGTTGTCAGATTGTGTGGATTTAAAATGGTTTTGTATGGGGTGACAAAAATGAGGTTTAAACAGCATCCAGTCCTTTCCAACACACACTGCAGTTGACACTGGCGTCATTACGGCGCACTTTTAGAAATACACTTTTTCAGAATGCTGTACAGCGCTGACCCAAAACCTAAACATATCAGTCACTGCGACATAAGCAAATCATCCATAAATATTCCAATGGTTTATTGTGAAATCAGAGCTGTTCAGAAAAATGTATTAAAATACAAACGTCGTAACATGAGAATGTGAGACTCAATACAAAACATCAGCATTTTCACAATAAGAGCACCCAGTTTTATTAAGGTCTTTGAGTGTTTGTTGCCATCATGACAATCCTAAACAAAATATTCAGTGATATTCCTTCAAATCAATACTGATAGTGTAGTTTGCGCAGACACACTGAGGTTTATCCAGTGTACAGAAGTCTGAATCATCCACATTATTTCATACGCTTCCAGAAACACGTTTACTACACGAATGTCCAGCGTTTGCTAAAACTGTTCAACTCTTTAGATGATTCCTTTCTTACAACATCTCCAACTATGACAGCTTCTCATTACTCACCATTTCTTAATCTTACTAAATACTTGACTTGATGTCGGACCTGGCGGACCACCACATTTAAGCTTTTGCTGGTCCTCACAGCATTATATATCTCCTACGACGTGTTCACCTTTACCCCATTGATCTCAATAATAACATCTCCTGGCTTCATTCCGGCTCTGCAAAACAGAAAACAGGAAATGACATCATCAATAGGATGCCTTACTCAACAGCTGATAACATCATGTTCAGAGAGCAGCACACCTGTTGGCTGGAGATCCTACAATCACACGGTGGATGAGAACTCCATGAGAAACATCAGGGAAGGACGGGTCTCGCATCCTTAGCTCTTCGATTATACTGAGGAGGGGAAAAAGAGAATTTAAAGATAATAAAAGACTCACTTCAGTGCAAAGTTTACGGTTTAAGGATTGATTGATAAATAGATAAGATAGATTGATAGATTCATAGATAAATTGATTGATTAATTGATAGTTTAATAGACAGATCAGCAAAACAATCAATATTACATTTGCTTCAACCAAAAACACTTCAATGTCTGCGGTTTAATTACTCTTGCTAATAACATAGTAAAAACATCTGAAAAGCATTATTCCCATAATACATTTGTTTTTCAGTTGTTTTTTTCTGTCACTGCAACACAGAAAGGCCTTTGTCCCGCCCTTACATTTCAGGTAAAACTAAACAAGGTTGACTGTGATTGGCCACTTCTCATATCATTTAAATCACTGCTTCGGAATGACGGTAGTTTGTGCGGGTATTTTTGCATTAAATTGTCACAAAAATTCACAAACATTTTTATTTTTCGGCGTGAAAATTGCATACAAATTCTCCTTGATAAATTAAGCACTTTTCAACAAAACAAGCCAATTTTCCAGGTATTCCAGCACTTGAATTTCTAAGAGCCAAATCTAGTGGTAAATAACAAAAATCTGCAGATTCCATAATGTATGAATTTTGCTCTCCTGTAAAATTGTAATAAAAGTGTTTGGCACCTGGGGGTCAAAGTCAACATCATCACTCCAATGTAACGGCTTTTCGATCCCGATTCTCCAAACCAAGAGTCTGAAAAAAAGACCCAATAACCATCTGTCAGTGAAAAAAATTCTGTCACAGACAAAAGCAAGCAGCTGTGAGGTCATTCTTAACGTGTCAGCAGATCGGTCAAGGAAGAGACGGACTCTGTCTGAGGGAATAGCGAAGGAAATCCCTGCTGTCACTTTCATGGTATTAATGCCGATGACCTCACCATCCTGAAGAGTACAAACATGACACATCAGTTTATTACATAAGGCTAGAGTATGGCCAGTACAATACAATATTGATGAACATTTGAAAACAATTCACGCTCTTTATATGACAGTCATGAAGCTCTGTGTTGCTCTGAAGGTCCAGCAATCTGTAGTCAACTACTAAATGTGCACTAATAACTTTGCCTTTTACCTTATTGTACAAGGAGGGTACCACCATAGCTGTGAGATACGTTCTACTTGGGATTTCGTAGAGTGGTTCTAGCACACTAATTAAATGCCTAAAACCGGAGTTTTCTACCCCTGAAAAAGGTTGCATGTCTGTGGCTATAAATACTCCTACCCTAATACTCCTACTATTATGCCTACAATTGCCTTTGCTTGTGTTGAGTTACTTGGAATTTTTATTCTAAATGAAGACAGGAGAGTAGTTTGTGTTACACTTGTCGGTTTAACAGATAAAGCAATGATTTTGTGGACATCAGTAATCTAACTATTTGCCTTAATCTGATTAAAACAATAATATGATTAAGGTGTTTGCATGAGTTGCTTTTTGAATGTTCCTTTCATGATCCCGTTTTACATGTTAAAGCACATAATACGATTAACGTCATTGTGTCACCACGCTATCCACGTTTCCTCCGGAGTGTCATGTAATTTCGGGGATTTTCATTCTTAATTTGTCGACTTTAACTGCAGTTTGGCACTTTCATTTTCATTCAAGAACATTTCATGCGTGCCCCCCATGACAAACGACATATTGGATCCGAGGAACTGCTAGAAGAGTGTAGTTTTAATGGCCTACTTCGCCATCTGAATAACAAGGAACACCGATTGCTTACTTACCAAATCCATAGAGACAGGACAATCAACGCGAACTGGATTTGCGATTTTTTTTATAAGAAGACGAGTGGCAAATCTGGATTTCACCATTTATACATACAAAAAGCTCTCGGGTAAAAATGTTCCTTACAAACATAATTTTGTTGCGTGTTAGAAGACCACTGTAGTCCACAAATGTGGGTCCTTTCTCATCGCGGGGAAATGAAACAAAACCTTTGTTGTGGCAAGTTTATAAACAACACTGACGACCCATGTCTCTGAACAATTCTTCTTCTTCCACTTGTTTTATTTACGGTTAGCAACACAACGTCGCGTCTCTCTGATTACTGTAACAGGTAGTTTTTGAAGCTATCATGCATATTAATAAAGTTGCACCTTATATACAATAGAGCGCACTGATTGGTTCGTCTTTCTCTTGAATTAATGATGAAAGCTCAAAGACGTCACATTGTACCCGCCGGTACAGACACAAGGAATTTACACAAGGAGCTCATGGCTATGAGGTGCCGTATAGGATTTAAATCAAACTTTGCTTATCAACACATACATAAAACACGTGTATATACACCTATAAATTACTTGCATATACACCTATACTACTGAATGTTCAAAACAACATGGAAGAAACTTGTGTATATACATATGAACTTGACGCATGAATACACCCACATTAACACACGCACATGCATATAAACTTGCTGCATGCAAACACACCTATACATACTCACATATACATATAAACTCAGTTTATGCATATACAACCTCAACAACACGCGCACATACACAAACTCATTGCAAGCAAACACACCTATAACATCTCGCGCAAACATACAAAAAAAAAATAAAGAAATAAAATTCACAAACATTTATAAAGAATCTGGTTATTGCAAAGCTTATGAAATAGAAATAATGTGATTAATAGAGGGATTAAATATGTTAAATTATGAACATATGTTATATAAAATATTAGTCTATATAAATAGACTATTCAAAATAAGAAATATTTTTATTTAAAACCTTTTCATTTAATTAGGTAATTACATACACAAATATAAATGGACAGATAGAACCCTTAAAGGACGTTCAAAAAGCAACCAGAATTATAAATATAAATGTATACTCAAACTAAACTCCTCTATTCTATTGCAAATGTTAATGTAGCCTATAGTCTTTTTGTTTTGTTTTTTACATTTTTATAATTATTATGCTTTTTATATGTTTTTACAATGTGGGTGTCAAAATTGCAAGATTTTGGTATCATTTTGATTGTTAATTATTTAGCATATACAATAAACAAAAAAACAAAACAAAAAAAAAAACACTGATTAAAAGTCTCTGCTCATCATGTTGGTCAAGTTAACCCCCATGGAAAAGCTATATATATTATCAGGACACTCCTTTTGTGTTTAATAACTACTACTTATATTTTTACAGCAGCTGGCATCCAGCATTTTGGTGCATTAGCCTGTTTATTGGTGACAGGAAAACCCACTTAAGTGCATTCCTGCCCCCTACTGGACATAAGTGTGTATCATAACCCTTGACGAATGGTGACACCAATAATAAAACAAACATAAAAAACTAATATTAGACAAACATATTTTATTCAAAATGATTACTTAAGCAACTTTATATTTATTAAACCATAATAACATTTCCAATAATTTAATTGCATAATAAACCTTTAATTTTGCAGGAGCATTCCTTTGCATTACCTTTTTATTTATTTATTTTTTAGAATTAGCATAATCTATTTTCATATTTCAACAGATGTAATTCCTCTAATAATCACATTATTTCTGTTTCTTAAGGTTTGCAATAACCTGATTCATGACAAATAATAATCTTGTTCATTACACTCAAAGGACTTTTACGTTGAAATTAAACGACTTCCTTTTAAAGTAAAATAACTGCCTTTTACTGTGAAAATTCATGCATACACACATATGAAATCACTTGCATATATGTATATACACAACTAACTGTATATATGTTTGTGAATTTTATTTTGTATGTTTGCACAAGTGTCATTTGGGTGTTTATGCACACATCAAGTTTATATTCTTATGTGAGAGTTTATGGGTGTACATGCATAGATCAAGTTTATATGTATATGCAAGTGTGTATAGGTGTGTTTGCATGCAGCAAGTTTATATGTATGTGCGTGTGTTAATGTGAGTGTTTATGTGAGGATCGAGTTTATATGCATGTGCGTGTGTATGTGGGTGTATTCATGCATCAAGCTTTTATGTATATACACAAGTTTCATCCATGTTGTTTTGAACATCCAGTAGTATAGGTGTAAATGCGAGTAATTTATAGGTGTATATACACGTGTTTTATGTATGTGTTGATAAGCAAAGTTTGATTTAAATCCTATACGGCACCTCATACATGGCCTTGACGTAGCTTCAAAATTTCTTTTCAAATCGGAAGAACGAATTTGTTTGAAATAAAGCAAAAACAACCAATTTTCACTTTTACTGTTAAATATGTGTCCTAAGAGTGTTTTTAGCAGCGTGAGACATATATATGACTATTGACAACTCAAAAATGTGTTTTGGTGTTTCGTGACCCTTTAAACCAAAAGGCAGAAGCAGTGAGTTGAGCAAATGTCAGCGACTCACCAGGTGTATGAGAGGCCCTCCTGAATTTCCAAACTGTAAAGCAGAATTGTGATTGAGTGATGGAATGCAATTCATTAAATTATAACATAGTTTTTTTTTTTTGCATGCAACACCACCCAGTTTCCAGTGCTCTTACATCTATGGTAGCGTCCGTCTGGATGTAGTCCATGTTGGAGTTGGAGAGACCCAGTTCTTTACTGCCTCTCTGAGCAGAGCTGACGATTCCAGATGTGATGGTGTTTTTAAGAGAAAAGGGGCTCCCCATGGCAACCACAAATTCACCTTGACGCACATCAGATGACTTGCCAAGACGCAACGTTGGTAAAGGATTCTGGGACAAGACAGAGAACACAATGACACTATGTCAGACTATATGGCCATGTACTAGAACTGTGGTAAAAGAAAACAGTCAAAAATCAATTGCAAAAATGGCGTTCCAAACATTAAAGCCTCCTCTGTTACTGTTGGTTTACCTAAAATTGTTGACTATAATTATTCTTTAGTTGCTGTAATACTACTGCGTTTAAAAATCTGAGGATACAAAACCAAATGTCACTAAGGTTATTACAATTTCGAGTTTATTTCCATATTTGTATGCGGCGGTTCCTCCTGAAATATTACAGTGTGTATGTAGCCTAAATACAGTATAATCAGATTAATGGGTTAACACCAGGGCTTGACATTAACACCCACCAACCGCAGGTAGACTTCGGCTGTGGCGGATTAGACAGCCACTCCCACTAGTCACTTTGGCTGGTCGAAAATCATTTTTAAATTGTATTTTTTTTTTGAAGTAGGGTTCAACAATAAGGATGAACCTCTAGAAATGAGAAGCAGCCCGACTGACAAAAACAACTGTGTTCACGCAAGCAAAAGAAAGCAGATGAATACAGAATGTTATGTGATGCACGCAATTTTTTAAAAGCGTGCACGATCCCATTTCCATGCGTGAAGCAACCTTGACCGGAAACACAATGCTGCGATCGGTTCTGTTTGAAATAGACTTCACAAAAAGCGATACACATCCACCATTTTCAAGAGCTCGAGATTTAAAAAAAAAGAAGGTATTTTATGTATGCAGCAGCAGTTGCAGCTTTAGCTTTAAACAATCTTTGAACAGATTATTAATGGGCCTAACGTTAACTGTGTGCGTTTGATCATCCTTTCATTATTGCACACGGTATGTTTTTCACCTGCTTTCTTTTTGTTAATATGATTTAATTATCATTTGTTTCAGTAACATTTATTTAATAGATTAAATTTAATGTATAGTTAACTGCTGATCTGAGACCTTGGTCTTGGAGCTAGGACAGACCTCTTTTTCATAGTTTTAGACAGGCTACATGACAATAATTGTTATTTAAGTTTTATTTAATAAAAAGTGTGTGCATATTACAACATATATTTTGCTAGTTTTTGAAATTTTAAAATTATTTAACATTTTTGGCTGAGAAATATTTATTTATTTATTTATTTATTTATTTATTTATTTATTTATTTTCCAGTGTGGCCAGAGAAAAAATTGGTACAACCTTAATGTTGAGCCCTGAAATAATAACCAATTACAATGCAACACCATGAAACCACTACCGCTCATGCTCATTGAGCAATGTCATACACAACACATCTAAATCAAGTAATTTTGCAAATATATTTTCCCAAAAACAAAAGTGAAAATGGCGAGTGGCTAGTAAAGTTGAAAAACTACTAGCCATATAGGCTGGTGATCAAAAAAGTTAATGTAGAGCCATTAAAAACATTAAAAATCATATTGACCTCACACTTTTAATGTACTAACAGTGACACAATTTTGATTCTATAGGTTTAATTCTTAAATGAACAAAATTCAAAAAGAAATTACTCATTTGATAAAGACCTTTTACTAAAAATGTAAATTAATAAAATAAAATGAGTCCTTGTTCTTACCATATTAAACTATGACTCAAAAATAATGATGCACCGATACCATCTTTTTGGAACTGATTCGATTTCGATCCCAAAATTCTGAGTATCGACCAATACAGATCCGATCCTGATATTGTGCCATTTTTTTAAGCATAATACAGTTTCTATGGTGATGTGGTCCAGCTTATGTTTCCTTTTTTAATAGTAAGATTTTTCTTTGAACTCTGCAACAGGCTACCACTATTGACCCTAATCAAAACACAAACTGGTCTGTTAAATAAACTATTGATATAAATAAAATTACAGTCAAATATTCACAGTTTCAGAGTAACCTATATGAGGCTTAATTATTTTCTGTTAATGACAATCAATATTGTGCCTGTCAGTTTCACTTTTATTAATTTAATCAACAACTTTGACCACAATGAGCCAGGCTTACAAACTATCCTAAAAGTATTCCCCTTCGAAAGAATAAACTCAGTCGGAAGGATGAGAAAACAGAAACTTTTAATGTTACAGAATAATTCTAGAGAGAGGCACACGTCACATCAGCCAGTGTGTGAATGAAGTGGCAGTATGTGAAGGGTCACATAATGCGTGTGCTTGAAGTTTGGACTTGCTATTTACTCGCAATTTAAATCTTAATCATAAAATTCTTCCTCATTCGCTAAGTATTTGTCTCTCCTACTTAGGGTGACCAAACCCTTAATACATTTATACAAACAAAACTGCTTTAAAAACGGTCTGTCCCTCGAGCATCCGCCTGTTGTTTGTAGCTTTAGCCTGCTAGCGCCGCTGGTCAGCTAAAGCTACCGACCTCTTTTACCATACACTTTTGACTTACTGGCTTTGCTCTTTACCCCGTAAAATGTCGCTTCCGTCTCTGTCCTTGTGTGCAGGAGAAGCATCGATGGAGGCGTTGGAGCTGGAGCTGGAAGAAGTGGAGTCCCAGATCCGGGCGCTTCTGGTGAGACGGTCGCGGCTACGGGAACAACTGCTTGTTGTACCTAATGCTAAGGCCGCCTCATCATCTAAGGTACGTGGAAATTACAACCACATCATTCCCTCTACCTCAACCCCGCGTCCTTCTCTGTCCAGGCCCAGCGCACCCGGGGCGCGGCTCAGCCAGGCGTCGTTCACGCCGACACCCGGCTACCACGGCGCCTGGGTGCAGCCGCGCAAGGTGCTTCCCAGATCTCGGGGCAGAACGTCTCCTCCCGTGTTCGAGATCTCCACGGAGAACCGCTTCTCCCCTCTCCGCGAGTCGGGTCCCGATGTGGCCATCATCGGTGACTCGATCGTTCGTCACGTCCGTGCCGCTTCCTCAAAAGGTAATAAAGTACGTACTTTCTGCTTTCCTGGTGCCCGTGTGAGAAATATTTCTACACAGATTCCAACCATCCTGGGCGCTGCCGAGAGCCCTGGTGCCGTTGTCCTCCACGTGGGGACAAACGACACCGGGCTCCGGCAGTCGGAGATCCTGAAGAAGGACTTCAGGAGCCTGATCGAGACGCACCTCGCCCGCCACGCAGATCATCGTTTCTGGGCCACTTCCTACCTACCGCCGAGGAAATGAAAGGTTCAGTAGACTTTTAGCTCTGAATGAATGGCTAATAACATGGTGTAAAGAACAGAAATTGCTCTTTGCTAATAACTGGAATCTTTTCTGGGAGCGTCCTAGGCTCTTCCGTCCTGACGGCCTGCACCCCAGTCGAGCCGGAGCTGAACTCCTGTCGGACAACATCTCCAGATTACTTCGCACCATCTGACTAGCAGATAAAAATTTACAAAATTCACATTATAGCCACCTAGACTCTTGTTCACCCCACTTAAACATCAGTAACGCATATCTGGCAAATCCTATAGAGACTGTGTCTGTTCCTCGTATTATTAGATTAGGAAATAAACGTACTGTGTGCTCCAGAAAAAATCTAGTAAGAATCAAAACAGAAAAACCAGTTGAAAGTGAAAATACAAATTTCGTAAAACTTGGTCTCCTAAACATCAGGTCACTTGCACCTAAAGCACTTATCATTAATGAAATAATAACAGAAAACAATCTTAATGCACTCTGTCTCACTGAAACCTGGCTGAAACAAAATGACTATATTAGCTTAAATGAAGCAACTCCTCCAGGATTCTTATATAAACATGAGGCTCGTCAAATCTTTAGTGATTTCCTTAATATTAAACAGAGAAACGGACTTATGTTTAGCTCCTTTGAAATATTATCGCTTAATGTTCAGCTTCCAGATACTATGCAAAAACCTATGTTATCTCTCGCTTTAATCACCATATATAGACCCCCAGGACCCTATGTCAAATTTCTAAAAGAATTTTCTGATTTTATTTCTGACTTACTAGTCAAAACTGATAAAACGCTAATTGTAGGTGACTTTAACATCCACGTAGATGACGCTAATGATACATTAGGGCTTGCGTTTATGGATTTAATACACTCACTTGGGATAAAGCAAAACGTTGTGGGTCCAACCCATCGCTTAAAGCATACATTAGATCTAATTCTGTCTTATGGAATCGAGGTTATTGACGTAGACATTATACCACAAAGTGATGATATTACAGATCACTACCTCTTACTATATAAGCTGTGTTTACCTGAAATCAGCAAACCCGCTCCAATACTCCGCCCTAGTAGAACTATTGTTCCGTCAACTAAAGATGAATTTATAAATAACTTACCTGATCTCTCTCTATTTCGTAATGCACCCCCAAACTCAAATGATCTTGATGTAGTAACCAGCAGTATGGATGCCATCTTTCCTAGCACACTAAATACTGTGGCACCCATCAAATTAAAAAAGGCTAGAGAGATTAAAACTATACCATGGTATAATAGTCATACTCGTGCGCTCAAAACAGCAACCTGCGCCCTGGAATGTAAATGGAAAAAAACTAATTTAGAGGTCTTTAGAATTGCGTACAAAGACAGTATGGCCAGCTATAGGAGGGCTCTAAAATCTGCCAGGACCGAGCACCTGCGCAAACTGATAGAAAATAATCATAACAATCCTAGATTTTTATTTAACACCATCTCTAAATTAGCAAATAATCGGTCATCCTTGGAACAAACTACTCCACCGCAAATTAGTAGTGATGACTTCATGAATTTTTTCAGTAATAAAATAGAAGGCTTTAGACAGAAAATAGGAGATGCCAAACTTTCTGCACCGGCTTATACTCCAAATCCTGTAAATATTTCATTGAATCATAATAATAACCTACACTGCTTCAAAATCATAGAACATGAAGAGTTAGTAAAAATTATAAATAGCTCTAAACCAGCTACGTGTATGCTGGACTCAATTCCAACAAAATTACTGAAAGAGCTGCTACCTGCTATAGGAGAACCTCTTCTTAACATTATCAACTCTTCGTTATCTATAGGCCATGTTCCAAACTCTTACAAGCTAGCTGTTATTAAGCCTATTATTAAGAAACCGCAACTAGACACCAACAACTTAGCTAATTATAGGCCTATTTTAAATCTTCCATTTATGTCTAAAATACTAGAAAAAGTTGTTTCCACTCAATTATGCTCCTTTCTGCAGACAAACAATATTTTTGAAGTGTTTCAGTCAGGTTTCAGGGCTCATCACAGTACAGAAACCGCATTAGTGAAAATAACCAATGATTTACTCTTAGCTGCTGACCAAGGGTGCATCTCGCTATTAGTTTTACTCGATCTTAGTGCGGCATTTGACACCATTGACCACAATATCCTCATAAATCGCTTAAAGTCTACAGGTGTCCAGGGACAAGCTCTACAATGGTTTAAGTCATACTTAACTGACCGTTACCAGTTTGTGAATATTAATGGACAGCCTTCACAAGTCAGCCCAGTAAAGTATGAGGTGCCTCAAGGATCAGTTTTAGGCCCTTTACTGTTTACAATTTAAATGCTACCACTGGGAGACATTATTAGAAGACATGGGATCAGCTTTCACTGATATGCAGATGATACTCAATTATATATTTCAACTAAACCTGATGAGATGTCTGAACTGTCTAAACTAACTGAGTGTATCAGAGATGTTAAAGACTGGATGACCAACAATTTTCTTCTCTTAAACTCAGACAAAACAGAATTATTACTTATTGGACCTAAATCTTGCACACAGCAGATCTCGCAACTCAATTTACAATTAGAGGGATACAAAGTTAGTTTTAGCTCTACTATAAAAGATCTGGGTGTCATATTAGACAGCAATCTAACTTTTGAAAATCATATATCCCATGTCACAAAAACTGCCTTCTTTCATCTGAGAAATATCGCTAAATTACGAAGTATGCTATCCATCTCAGATGCAGAAAAGCTAGTCCATGCTTTTATGACTTCGAGACTGGATTACTGTAATGCTCTATTTGCTGGCTACCCAGCATCCTCTATTAACAAACTTCAATTAGTACAAAATGCACCTGCCAGAGTTCTTACCAGGTCTATATGATCATATCACCCCAATTTTATCCTCCTTACACTGGCTGCCTGTTAAGTTTCGTATTGAATTTAAAATATTACTTCTCACCTATAAAGCTCTAAATAATCTAGCTCCTGTTTATCTAACCAACCTTCTGTCTCGCTACAAACCAACTCGCTCTTTAAGATCTCAAAATTCAGGGCTTCTGGTAGTATCTAGAATAGCAAAGTCAAGAAAAGGAGGTCAAGCCTTCTCTTTCATGGCTCCTACACTCTGGAATAGCCTTCCTGATAACGTCCGAGGCTCAGACACACTCTCCCAGTTCAAAACTAGATTAAAGACCTATCTGTTTAGTAAAGCATACACTCAATGCATCACCTAGCGGGTTCCACACAGGCTTCTGCATCTTGCTTATAAACACTATGAACAGCAGCTACGCTAATTATTTTCTTTATTCTCTATTTTCACCTGGGGATACTCATCCCGAGGTCCTCAGATTATGCGGAGTCACTGATTGGATCCAAGACCAGCGACGTGATGATCCCAAGGATTCCATATCCGGGACCAGGCCATATCCTGAGCTGCTGCTGCGCTGATGGTCGTGGAGAGTGGAGAACATGAGTCTGATTCCAGTGACGCTCCAGGGACAGACGAGTCTTCGCTGAGGCCATCTTCCAGCCTAAACCACGGCGAATGAAGCTCTGCACAAGACTTTTGGCCAGCGGAGAAATTAAAATGGTCGTGCCCAACTGAGTCTGGTTCTCTCAAGGTTTTTTTTCTTCACTCCCATCAGGTGAAGTTTTTTTTCCCTCTCCGCTGTCGCCACTGCCTCGCATGGTTCAGGATTGGTAGAGCTACGCATCGATGAAATTGACTCTTCAGTGTTTGAACTATCAGTAATGATTAAATCACACTGAACTGAGCTAAACTGAACTGAACTGAACTTAAACACTAAAAACTGAACCACACTGTTCCAGTTACTATGACCATTTATGTGAAGCTGCTTTGACACAATCTACATTGTAAAAGCGCTATACAAAAAAAGCTGAATTGAATTGAATTGAATTGAAAGTGCTTGATGCATCACTGAGACAGCTTCCAATCCAAAACAGCAGTAAAAAGGGAAGAAATCAGTGTGTTAAGGATCTGTCCAATGTATTATTGAGCCTTTTCTAGTTTTAAATTTCAGGTAGGCCTACTTTGTGTGTGAAGAGCAGGTAATAACCCACTCAGTTCCAGTGTTGCGAATGCGATCTGCTGATCTAACAGCTACATGATTTAGAAAAAGAAATGAACTCGTCGTTTCAGATCGAAATGAACCAATTTAATATATATTATATTAGAATAAATTAATATAATGTAATATAATAAATTAATATTTATTTAAATTAACAGGAACAAATAGTCTTGGAGAAAGTTTTTCATGTTTTCATGAACGTGACACGCAGTTTGAATTGTAAATAAATTGGAGAATGATTGACAGGCGAAGCGGAGGGAAGCGCAGAACTGAACATGAATTTAACCATGTGAATATTGATCTGTACTTCACATTAAACTATAGAATGGCTTCAAAACATTTGGGATACAGTAGGCCTACAAGACAACTTTCTACTGTCTTATAAAAGGCTACCTTTCTGGCTTTTGTTTGCTTATAAATTACACAGAATATAGAGCACGTGCAAGATGGGATTTGGATCGGTACCTGCTGGCCGATACCCGATCCAGTAAAAATATGCAGTATCAAACCGATATCCAATCCAAGTATCAGGATCGGTGCATCCCTAATTAAAAAATTAAATATCCCCAAAAGATTACATATGTTAACAGTACAACCTCAAAGCTCCATCTGTACCTTAACATTGATTTTGATGGTGGCGATGTCTGCAGCCTGGTACACATCCTGAACTGTGGCGTTGTAAGTCTCACCATTGGTCAGTTTGACAAGAACACCACGCTTGTTGGCGACCACATGGGCATTTGTCACTATCAGGCCATCACTACTTATTATAAAGCCAGAACCATTCGAGATGGGAACCTCACGGCCAGAAAAGGGGTGTCTGAAAGAAAGAGTGTAATATTAGTCACAATTCCCAAACACAACTGAAACTAAAACCATCTGGTCATCTTAAAATAGAAACAAGTGATCCAAAAAGTCTCTATAGAGAGAATCAACATAAAACACCCTGCTGAAAAAAACAATCCTGTTGAGCGCGCGCATGTAAAGGTAACTGGGTGAACAAGTCAAACAAAGTATATACACAAGAGAACACAAAAATATACAACAATTCAAAAAAATGAAGCAAGAATAATAAAGATTTAAATAAAACATATAATAGATAGATAGTACAATAATAATAATGATAGTAATAATGTCAGTGAAAATGACAACAGCATTATTAATAACAACAACAACTACTACAACTACCACTTTTGATTACTTAACATTCAGAAATTAAACCGAATTAACAAAAAATATTGTAAATATATGTGTAGTGTTAAAACATTGTTGGGTTTTACAACCCTGCGAAATGTGAGAATGTTTTAACAATAGAAATGATAAAAAAGTAAAGAATTAGGTTAACTTGATTGTTTTTATAAATGTAAGTGAGTTGAACATAAAACAGTCAAGTTGCCCCCAATAAACTTAAGAATTGAGTTGCTTCAACACGTTAAATAAGTGTTTTATAAATGTCTGATAACAATAATTGTGTTAATAATAATGACATTTGGGGAAAAATGGTTTGGTTCTATTTTTGTAGTAATTAAATGTTTATAATTTAAAATGTTTATAATAATTAGATGTTTTGCCGCCTTGTTTTTGAGTTGTGCAATGCAAAAAGACCCTCTTATAGCAAGATTAGAGATGCACCGAAATGAAGCTTGTTGATTGAAACTGAAAATTCTAGATGCATTTGGCTGAAAACTGACACTGAAAAGGCTTTTTAATAATTGGGAATTATTTTAATAAATAAAAAAAAATTAGTTTTATATCAAATAATAAAGTAATTTGGCGACGCAGTAGGTAGTGCTGTCACCACACAGCAAGAAAGTCGTAAGTTCGAGCCTCAGCTAAGTCGGTTGGCATTTCTGTGTGGAGTTTGCATGTTCTTCCTGCGTATGCGTGGGTTTTCTCCGAGTGCTATGGTTTCCCCCACAGTCCAAAGACATGCGGTACAGGTGAATTGAGTAGGCTAAATTGTCCGTAGTGCATGAGTGTGAATGAGTATGTATGTATGTTTCCTAGAGATGGGTTGCAGCTGGGAGGGCATCCGCTGCGTAAAAACATATGCTGGATAAGTTGGCGGTTCATTCCGCTGTGGTGACCCCAGATTAATAAAAGGACTGAGCCGAAAAGAAAATAAACGAATGAATGAATAAAGTATTTTTGTGAGGCTTTTAAATTAAACTCAATAACTTAAATTAACAGTGAAATCAATAGTAAAAATAAAAATGATTCCATCATTTACTCACCCTCTGCATATTTGAACTCGTTATGAGTTTCTTTCTTCTGTTAAACACAAAAGAAGACATTTTCAATAATGCTGAAAACCTCTAGCTATTGACTTCCATAGCAGGAAAAATAACTACTATAAAAGTCAATGTTCAGGTTTTCAGCATTACCCTTAAAAAATTATATATATATATATATAGTACTGTTTCAGTGAACTTGTACAAGTATACTAAAAAAACATTCATTTTATTAGTATTTTTATTCAATGCTTTGAAAAATAAGTTAAATCTTTGTAAATACATATGTACTATATATCATTTATTTAAATATGTGGGCAACAAATTATAGATTCATTTTAATAAAAAAATATTATATTATTATTATTTTTTAAATTCAACTATAGGGGTAGGGCCAGGTAGGGGGCCTTACAAGATAATGTGCCCAGGAGCTCCTGAGTTCTTATTCCAGGCCTGGCCCCGCCTATTTGTTGCACGCGTAATCCCGGGAAAATTAAAAAAACCCAGCCCCGCCCACAAACACAGTAGCAAAGAAAAAGAAGAAGGACACTGCAGCAGACGCCAGTTGAATCATGTCGCGAAGACGCTGTGCTCTGAAGTGTGAGGGGAAAGTTAGTGTTATTTTCTCTACTCAAAGATGAAACAGTGAAGAGTCAGTGGTTGAGGTTTATTTTGGCAAAAATACCTCAACATTACAGCCCAGGCTTGTGCTGTGTTCCTGTCATTTTTCTGATGAGTGCTTTAGATCAGAAAAGTCTGTTGACGTATGGGACTTTGTCAGAGCTCGACAGGAACTTTACAGTACACAGTTTATGGATCAGTTTCTTTCTCTATGTCACAAGTGTAAGTATGTGTAATTAAAATGGTTGCCTCTTTGTTTTCTCTACAAATTATGTATTTTATTGTTTTTTACTACTTATGCTTGTAGTGCATCTGGTTAACTCTTTATATTCTCATATCACGTCTAATGCCATGATGAAAATGCGACGCGTGCCGCTTTGTTTATGGATTTAAATGCGTTTGCATTTAAATGCACAATCCACTGGCACTTGTCGTTGCTATGGCCATCATCAGTTTCCGGGATAAATAACAAAACGGGAGGGTGGCGGGAGATGGGTCTGAAATTACGGGAGACTCCCGGAAAAAAAACGTGAGTGTTGGCAGGTATACTCACACATACACTCTGCACTCTGACTACTTCAATATTGTTGATAAGCCATGGTGGCCATTTCTCTCCGTCTCACGCTGAACGCTGTTGACCAATCACAACAGAGTACAATAGGACCAATCAGCGCAGATTAGCATCGCGTTAGGGAGGGGTGTAGAAACAAATTAATTGCTTAACAATCATATGAGAGTCGCTGCCATAATTTGGTAAAAATAAATGCATATTCTAAGACAATGAAAGTGTTCTTTGACCTTGAATGCCCATCAGCCTGTTGTTGGAGACCCCCCCCCCCCCCCCCCCCCAAAAAAAAAAAAAATTCCAAAGAGTTTTTAAAGTAAAACTTGACTCTTGTGTAGTTAAAGTATGCACCAAGACTGATGGAAATGAATAGCTGCTATATTCCAGCTTGACATGGCTAGTAACTATACCTATACTACTCTCGGGAAGTATACATGGGCATTCTGTTTGAATGGGTAAATCAAATTCTTCAAAACTGCTTGCCAAGATTACGATTACATTACATATTATGAATAACCAATAAAATTGAACAGTAACTGTCCTTTTAGTTTCATTTATAAACGTCCATATCACACAATATCTGCAGAAACTCACATCTAGTCCAAGCCCCTCCCCTGGAGAATTGTCATTCTATACTGATCGCTGATCGGCTCATGTACTAAAAGGTGGGATTTATTTGCCATATATCAATCACTGATTGGCTACTGTACTAGAAGGCGGGGCTTCATTCGCCTATTGACTGTTTCACTTTTTCCATTCAAAAGTATACGAGTGACACGTCATGTGTATTCTATAATCATTGCTATACTCTCATTCTGCAGTAATAATCAAGGATTTTGGACTATTTGTTAGACCCAGAGATCAGCTGAACGGATTAAAATGATCAAACACAACAGTTTAACTCTGAGTGACTTGAAAAATAAGCCTATTTGCCAAAAAGCCTTCCTTTAAATACGTCATAATTAATATAAAACAAAAGTATATTGTTTGCTTTCATAACTTAAATTACGGTCAATGTAACTGCATAGAGACTCAAAATGTGTGTGTGTGTTTTTTATAATCAGTGAGGGACCACTGACTTCTCAAAATATCACAAGAACGCAAGCATGTTTGGAGTAAATGACGACAGAATTTTCACTTTTCGCCTTTTAATGATTCCTCTCTCTACAGCATATCTCCAAACTAATCAAAAATCAACCCTGAAACGTGTTTCCAAAAATCATCAGAAAATTTACAAGTACAAAAAGAACATTTTTGTGATTTTTTTATTATTATTATTATTTATTATTAAATATATTGCAGGGATAGTAGTACCTGTGTAATATTTTGAAATGAATTTCTTCTACCTGATTTGGGCGTAAAAATGTATTGTTGACCAAATATCATCGATAAATGGGAAAGAAAAATATTGTTTCCATTTCAAAATGTCTTTCAGGAAACATGTTCCACCAATGCGTAAAGCACTTTGAGTGTGCAGGAAACGTGCTATATAAATGTAAGGAATTATTATTATTAATTATTATTTATTCATTTCTATGTGAAACACTTTCATGAGCCCATTTAGCCAATAAGACAAAAACATAGTTTTACTAAAGTAAACTTACATTTATCCACAAAAAATAAACCTGACTGTATTTTTTGTAGTAAAGTCGAGGTTAATTGTGTTAAATATGCCATTTCAGCCTGCAGAATGGCATTTCAAACTGTGGCCTAACAAAAATATAGAAAATAAATATCGAGTTTCTGTAATATAAAACTAAACAATTCCTCTCCCTGTATAGTTCCTAAAGTTAACTAGACAGAAACAAATGTAAGTTAATTTTAACAGAATCACTCAAATAGCAATTAATCTGACTGATGTTAACGTTAAAGGTTTGATCGAGCTTTTAAGTAAAGCAATAGATAGTTTAAAGTTACAGTACCGTTAATATAACATTAATATTTACATTAAGTTGCATCAATGTTAGCATTAGCATCAAATGCTAATTAGCGCTACTAGCCTGTGACATACAGTAATAAACGTTAGATCTAATTACACTGACTTTAATATTCATTGGTTTAATTTGTAATTATTTATTTTATTTATGTTATTTTTTCTTTTTAATTCGCATTTTTCACTTAGTAAAGGCGGGGACTGTTGACTAACGTTAGTACCTCTAAATTAATTAGTTGACTGGAATGCTGTGACGGTGTTAGCATGTAGCATGTTCACACATAAAATAAGTACAGTCCGCAATTAAAACCATGTCCTGCCTTTTGTTGTAACTTAATAAAATCTACTGCAATTAATGTCAACAAAGAGGTTTAATCCACAAGAATTTGATCATTATTCCTACCTGTTCACATCGGTTCAGTCCTTATTTAGGCTAGAGTGGGTTATTTTTTGAGAATGAATCTGTGGATTTAAATAAATTGTGAGAGTCGATTCATCCTTGACCTATTCATAAATACAACAGTTGCTTTGTTGCTGAATAAATGTCTTATTCACTTAAGACAGTGTCCTACCACCACCTACTGGCGATTTCAGGTAATACATGGATAACTTCATTTTGTTGCATATTTTTCTTTTTAATTTATTATTTGAAGCATTATTAATTTAAAAAGAATTTACAAGAATAACGAATTTATATAATCATAACATATAAAATATAATATAAACAATAATAATAATACTGTTAAAAATGATAAATAATTGATAATGAAAATATAAAATAATTGAAATGAGCTACTCAAAATAAATGAATCATACACACACGCACACGCACACACACACACACACACACACACACACACACACACACACACACACACACGTATAAATATATATAAACATGGTAATAATTCTAATAAAAAGCAATAACGCAGAAAAAGTTGTGCATGACAGAAAAAATACATAGGCCTAAGTGCAAAATTAATTTGATTAATAATTGGAAAAAATGTGTATATAAGCAGGTGGCTGTGTGAGCACATTAAGGCGAATGAGCCAGTCAGTCTAGCGCGGGCCTGCATTAGAAGTTTGTTTTGTTTTAAAAAGTCTCTACGTAATACTAAATGGAATTGTGGAACTCTGACATCATCAGTGACAGTATAAAGCTTTTTGACGTAGCAGAAACTCTCAGTAGCTTCTTTGGATGTCTAGTAGTTCAGTACTTTCTGCGATTCAACAGTACAGTGATACAATGGCATTTTCAAAACTGATTAACCGTCTGAAGAAAGCGTTTGGTGTTAAGTGTGCGAACGAACAACCGTGTGAGCCACTCGAACCCACCGGCAGCACGACAGAGAATCACCGTCATCTGATGACCGATGACCCGGCCGTCGCTGCAGGAAAACAGGCAGGGAGACAGAAAAAGAGGAAACTCAAATTGTCTCCCATCTTCTTCGCCTGTTTTTCCAGAAGAAGAGCTACTGTTGTTGGTAAAATAGATTTATGAGCACTTTTAATTACTAAAGCATACTGTTAAACACACCAAACACATCACATAAGTGTTTAAAGATCAGAAATGACATTAACTGGAAGACATTTTAGAAAGAGTTTCTTAAAGCCACAGTTCACATAAACAAGACAATTCTGTCATAATTTACTCCTTAAACCTGTTTCTGTTTGAGGTGCTTTCAGCCATTGACTTCCACAGTATTTTGTGTTCCTACAATGAAGGTTAATGGCTGCTGATTTCAGGAATTTTCTTCAGAATTTGTAGTTTTGTGTAAAAAACTGAAAAAATAAGAATTATTTGTATTAGGATTTTTATTTCAGTGAGCTTTGCCTTTAGATATATAGTTTACTTGTTTGCTAATTCAATGCAGAAAACCCATGAAGATCATCAATAAAAACACATTGAGTAATGTTTCTGCAAATGAACTGTTCGAATATCTTGTCAAAAAGAGTTGTAGAGTCATATTAATGATGTTCCTTCCTCTCTTTAGATCAGCTATGTGTGCAGGAGATCCACGAACTTCACGCAGAGCCCATCAGTAGCTCTAAATTCTTCTGCACTGCTGTGAGCAACCTGGAGCTGGAAGTTCTCCAACCTCCAGCTCTTGATGCTCCAGCAGATGAAGATTTGGACTTTAAACCTGAAGTGAACAGCTTTGACTCTGCAGTGGTCATTGAGAACGACTCTGCAGAGCTTCACTTCACAGCAGACAACGAATCCTCCCTCAGTGAGGACAGCCTGGAGCAAGAGCTTGATAGTCCTCCAAGTTCACCATCCGATGAGGACAATGAATCTCCAGTGAGCCAGCAGCTCATAAAAGATGACATCTGTGACTCTGCCCTGGATGAAAACTGGAACCCTTTACCGGATCAGGTCTCACAAGAGGACTCTGCTGTGAAGTCTACAGCAGATGATGGGACCTGCTTGGACAATAGTAAGTTTATTGCTGGAGTTCAGAACATTTGTTTAGGCTCATCAATCTTTGTAAAATTATACAGTTGAAGTCAAAATTATTCGCCCTCCTGTGATTTTTTATTAATATTTTTTAAATATTTCCCAAATGATGCAGAGCAATAACGTTTAAGTATTCAGAACTTTAAGCTGAACACAGGTATCTTGAAAATATCCAGTAAATATGATGTACTGTCATCACGACAAAGATAAAAGACATCAGTTATTAGAAATGAGTTATTAAAACTATCATGTTCTGAAATCTGACAATAATTCTGACTTCAACTGTTTGTCTTTTTATTTGGTTTATAATTTAATGACATTTTCTTCATTTTTAACAGATGACATCAGCTGCCGCTACAAACTCGGAAAGCAGCTTGGTGAAGGAGGTTTCGGCTCCGTGTATGAGGGGATTCGCATACAGGATGGTCTGCAGGTATTCATTTTTGTAGACTCAAATCCTCTGATGAAGTTCCCTGTTTAAAGAACATCATCAGAGCTTTCATTGTTTGGACATTTCTGCTGACGAATGAATCCTCTGTTCAGGATTTATGACTGAATGAAATGATCTCCGTGCACATGTTAATTGTTCGCTTGTTCCTTTAAACAGGTGGCAGTTAAATTTGTCCAGAAGACCCTAAATATGCAAGATGTCAGCTCTGTGAGTAGACTACACTTTCTGTTCGCTGTGTTCAGTTTATAAAGTCTTATATTTATTATAGACCACAGGCTGTGGTCAGAAACCCTTGTTTGAAAACCAACATTATTATTTTGTTTTCAGTCATGTGACCAGCCACTTCCTCTAGAGATCACCTTGGCAAACATGGCCAGCGGTGGCTCCAGGTGTTCGAACATTATTCAGCTTCTGGACTGGCAGGTCTTTGAAAACCATTACGTCATGGTGATGGAGCGGCCTAGTCCAAGCATGGACCTGGAGGCATTCCTTGAAGTCAGCGGAGGAGTCCTCAGTGAGAAAACAGCACATACCATCATGAGGCAAGCTGTTTATGCGGCCAACGTGTGCTGTTACCGCGGGGTGTTCCACCGGGACATTAAGCTTCAAAACCTGCTGGTGAACCCCGACACACTGGAAGTCAAGCTGATCGACTTCGGGTGTGGAGACTTCATGATGGAATCAGCCTACAGTATCTTCTCTGGTAGGTGTTTTGAATAGTGTGGTCAAAAGTATCGACTTCGGTACCAATCGATTCTGACATTTAACAAGTCAATTTAAGCGCTGTTAAACACCACTGATTGGCCATTGGTGTTCACATGCTCAGCAAATATGACTGTGATGAGTGTCGGTATCGATTGGTAGTTGATACTTTTGACAACACTAGTTATGAATGTGCATAAGCATTATTAATAAACGTATTGAAAGCTGGTTAATTAGCACAGCTGAAGCCCATCTGGTATATATATTCAACATGATGCTAAACTAAACGTCTCTCCTCCAGGCACAGAAGCGTACATCCCGCCAGAGTTTTATGAAAAAGGATGCTACCGGGCCAAACCAGCGACGGTCTATTCACTTGGGGTTCTTCTGTTCACAATGCTCCATGGAGAATTCCCATCAGCGTATGACCTGTACTACCTCCAACATGACTGGTCCAAATTTACCCTCTCTCAAGGTGAGATGTTCATCAAAGAACAATTAAGTGAAACAGCTTAATAATAATAATAACAATAACCTCACCTCTCCATTTCTTCTTCACAGAATGCTGTGATATGATGAGGGCTTGTCTGCATGAGAATCCAGAGTGCAGAATTCCTCTAGAAGAGATGCCTTACCACGACTGGTCCATGCTGGAGTTCTGAGTCACATTAGCAGAATGTTTTGTATATTTGATTTTTGTACATGTCTGTAATAAAGATATACTTTATTGAACTCACTTGTGTTGTGGCTTATATTGTGATCTAGCCCCAGTGTTGTCAGATTTTGTGGATTTAAAATGGTTTTGTTTGGGGTGACAAAAATTCGGCATGAGGTTTGAACAGCATCCAGTCCTTTCCACCCCACACTGCAGTTGACACTGGCGTCATTACGGCGCACTTTTAGAAAAACACTTTTTCAGAATGCTGTACAGCGCTGACCCAAAACCTAAACATATCAGTCACTGCGACATCAGCAAATCATCCATAAATATTCCAATGGTTTATTGTGAAATCAGAGCTGTTCAGAATAATGTATTAAAATACAAACGTCGTAACATGAGAATGTGAGACTCAATACAAAACATCAGCATTTTCACAATAAGAGCACCCAGTTTTATTAAGGTCGTTGAGTGTTTGTTGCCCTCATGACAATCCTAAACAAAATATTCAGTGATATTCCTTCAAATCAATACTGATAGTGTAGTTTGCGCAGACACACTGAGGTTTATCCAGTGTACAGAAGTCTGAATCATCCACATTATTTCATACGCTTCCAGAAACACGCTTACTACACGAATGTCCAGCGTTTGCTAAAACTGTTCAACTCTTTAGATGATTCCTTTCTTACAACATCTCCAACTATGACAGCTTCTCATTACTCACCATTTCTTAATCTTACTAAATACTTGACTTGATGTCGGACCTGGCGGACCACCACATTTAAGCTTTCACTGGTCCTCACAGCATTATATATCTCCTACGACGTGTTCACCTTTACCCCATTGATCTCAATAATAACATCTCCTGGCTTCATTCCGGCTCTGCAAAACAGAAAACAGGAAATGACATCATCAATAGGATGCCTTAATCAACAGCTGATAACATCATGTTCAGAGAGCAGCACACCTGTTGGCTGGAGATCCTACAATCACACGGTGGATGAGAACTCCATGAGAAACATCAGGGAAGGACGGGTCTCGCATCCTTAGCTCTTCGATTATACTGAGGAGGGGAAAAAGAGAATTTAAAGATAATAAAAGACTCACTTCAGTGCAAAGTTTACGGTTTAATGATTGATTGATAAATAGATAAGATAAATAGATTCATAGATAGATTGATTGATTAATTGATAGTTTGATAGACAGATCAGCAAAACAATCAATATTACATTTGCTTCAACCAAAAACACTTCAATGTCTGCGGTTTAATTACTCTTGCTAATAACATAGTAAAAACATCTGAAAAGCATTATTCCCATAATACATTTGTTTTTCAGTTGTTTTTTTCTGTCACTGCAACACAGAAAGGCCTTTGTCCCGCCCTTACATTTCAGGTAAAACTAAACAAGGTTGACTGTGATTGGCCACTTCTTATATCATTAAAATCACTGCTTCGGAATCACGGTAGATTGTGGAGGTATTTTTGCATTAAATTGTCACAAAAATTCACAAACATTTTTATTTTTCGGGCGTGAAAATTGCATACAAATTGTCCTTGATAAATTAAACACTTTTCAACAGAACAAGCCAATTTTCCAGGTATTCCAGCACTTGAATTTCTAAGAGCCAAATCTAGTGGTAAATAACAAAAATCTGCAGATTCCATAATGTATGAATTTTGCTCTCCTGTAAAATTGTAATAAAAGTGTTTGGCACCTGGGGGTCAAAGTCAACATCATCACTCCAATGTAACGCCTTTTCGATCCCGATTCTCCAAACCAAGACTCTGAAAAAAAGACCCAATAACCATCTGTCAGTGAAAAAAATTCTGTCACAGACAAAAGCAAGCAGCTGTGAGGTCATTCTTAACGTGTCAGCAGATCGGTCAAGGAAGAGACTGACTCTGTCAGAGGGAATAGCGAAGGAAATCCCTGCTGTCACTTTCATGGTATTAATGCCGATGACCTCACCATCCTGAAGAGTACAAACATGACACATCAGTTTATTACATAAGGCTAGAGTATGGCCAGTACAATACAATATTGATGAACATTTGAAAACAATTCACGCTCTTTATATGACAGTCATGAAGCTCTGTGTTGCTCTGAAGGTCCAGCAATCTGTAGTCAACTACTAAATGTGCACTAATAACTTTGCCTTTTACCTTATTGTACAAGGAGGGTACCACCATAGCTGTGAGATACGTTCTACTTGGGATTTCGTAGAGTGGTTCTAGCACACTAATTAAATGCCTAAAACCAGAGTTTTCTACCCCTGAAAAAGGTTGCATGTCTGTGGCTATAAATACTCCTACCCTAATACTCCTACTATTATGCCTACAATTGTCTTTGCTTGTGTTGAGTTACTTGGCATTTTTATTCTAAATGAAGACAGGAGAGTAGTTTGTGTTTCACTTGTCGGTTTAACACAGGGGTCGGCAACCCAAAATGTTGAAAGAGCCATATTGGACCAAAAAAAAAACAAAAACAAATATGTCTGGAGCCGCAAAAAATTAAAGGCTTTATATAAGCCTTATAATGATGGCAACACATGCTATATGTATTTATATTAGCTATATTAGCCTACTAAAAAAATGACTTCGTTGGCTACAAATACATACTGAGCCTTCATGATTAAATGTTCATTTCCCTGCAGTGCATCCTGTAGAGAATGACGCGCCACGTGACTACTCTGTTGTACAATGCCGTCTCAAGTTTAACTTAATTACAGTATATTAATGAATTATGTTTAATGTTCAAGTTTAACTTCATTACAATATTAATGAATTGTTTAATGATCAAGTTTAACTTCATTACAATATTAATGCATTATGTTTAATTATCAAGTTTAACTTCATTACAATATTAATGCATTATGTTCAATTATCAAGTTTAACTTCATTAAAATATTAATGAAATATGTTTAATGACCAAGTTTAACTTCATTACAATATTAATGAATTATGTTTAATGATCAAGTTTAACTTCATTACAATATTAATGAATTATGTTTAATGATCAAGTTTAACTTCATTACAATATTATTGCATTATGTTTTGCTTTGATTAAATTAAAGAAATGCAATAAAGAAATCAGATTTTTTAATGTTTTTTTCATTTTGAGGATTCAAAAAAACAACATCAAAATTAACGTGCACAACGTGCCCCTTATCTGGACAACAAACAGTGCAATGAAACGCAGCCTGCCATTTCCATTTCAAGATCAGCTCGAGTCATTCCTGGGAATGTGCTCAACAAGGAAGGGTCAATCTCCAAGGGTGTGTGTCAAGGAAAGACAGTCTCGTTTTTTCCTTTCGCAACTCACAAAATCTGCTCCCAAATGCAGTTTGCATATCAACGATCGAACCTTGTAAATAATCAACGTTGAGTGAGTGATCGGGATGGGCTTCTTTGAATTCTCTCAGGGAGGGAAAATGAAAAAGCGTGCCCCGCTGTACATCTTTGGCAAAGACAGCTTGCGCTCCATGGCGCATCACCCAGCCGCCGGTTTGTTTACAACAGCTACCTGCCTGGCATCCCGCCCTGCTGATAGAAACGTGTGTCGCAGGCTATGACGCAAATCTTCGTTGACAGAAATGTTGAAATTAAATATTCTACACACTTTTACAGCATTGGAAAACGTTAAGATTGTTTGTCCTCCTATAGAAACCATATTAAAACAAAAAATATATTTACCTCCCCCATCGTTTTCCATTTTCAAACATTTTTTGAAAAAGTTTCAGGGAGCCACTAGGGCAGCGCTAAAGAGCCGCATGCGGCTCTAGAGCCGCGGGTTGCCGACCCCTGGTTTAACAGATAAAGCAATGATTTTGTGGACATCAGTAATCTAACTATTTGCCTTAATCTGATTAAAACAATAATATGATTAAGGTGTTTACATGAGTTGCTTTTTGAAAGTTCATTTCATGATCCCGTTTTACATGTTAAAGCACATAATACGATTAACGTTATTGTGTCACCACGCTATCCACGTTTCCTCCGTAATTTAGTCTCATAATAAGTCTCACGTAATTTAGGGGCGTTTCATTCTAAATTTGTCGACTTTAACTGCAGTTTGGCACTTTCATTTTCATTCAAAAACATTTCATGCGTGCCCCCATGACAAACGAGAAACTGGATGCAAAGAACTGCTAGAAGAGTGTAGTTTTAATGGAATTTTGGATACCGCACGCCGTATGGGAGAAAAAAAAACCTCCGCAGAGAATAGTGTCAAGCAGCCGTGTGTGTAGAGATCATCCCATTACAAAATGTGGCGAAAATCCTACAAGATGGTAATAGTTTGATTAAGGTGTTTACATGTTTACATTCAGAGAGCAGCATTTACAGCAGATCTTTCAGTCCATAATATTGTAGTGATATTTAAAGAGTACTGCTGACGATACTAACTACCTTTGCCATCTGAATAAACAAACAAGGAACAACGATTGCTTACTTACCAAATGCGTAGAGACAGGACAATCAACGCGAACTGGAACTGTTTCTTTTTTTAAAAGAAGACGATGAGCAAATCTGGATTTCACCATTTCCAGATGCGAAAAGCTCTCGGGTAAAAATGTTCCTCACAAACATTTTTGTTGCGTGTTAGAAGACCACTGTAGTCCACAAATGTGGGTCCTTCCTCACTGCGGGAAAATGAAAACAAAACCTTTGTTGTGGCACGTTTATAAACAACACTGACGACCCATGTCTCCGAACAATTCTTCTTCTTACACTTGTTTTATTTACGGTTAGCAACACAACGTGGCGTCTCTCTGAATACTGTAACAGGTAGTTTTTGAAGCTATCATGCATATTAATAAAGCTGCACCTCATTCACAATAGAGCGCACTGATTAGTTCGTCTTTCTCTTGAATTAATGATGAAAGCTCAAAGACGTCACATTGTACCCGCCGGTACAGACACCCAGTCTCCATGCTGGAATTTACACAAGGAGCTCATGGCCTTGACGTAGCTTCAAAATTTCTTTTCAAACGGGAAGAACGAATTTGTTCGAAATAACGCAAAAACAACCAATTTTCACTTTTATTGTAAAATATATGTGTCCTAATAGTGTTTTTAGCAGCGTGGAACATATATATGACTGTCAACATCTCAAAAATGTGTTTTGGTGTTTTTGGACCCTTTAAACCAAAAGGCAGAAGCAGTTTTTTGAGTAAATGTCAGCGACTCACCAGGTTTATGAGAGGCCCTCCTGAATTTCCAAACTGTAAAGCAGAATTGTGATTGAGTGATGGAATGCAATTCATTAAATGATGACATACATTTTTTTTTGCATGCAACACCACCCAGTTTCCAGTGCTCTTACATCTATGGTAGCGTCCGTCTGGATGTAGTCCATGTTGGAGTTGGAGAGACCCAGTTCTTTACTGTCTCTCTGAGCAGAGCTGACGATTCCAGATGTGATGGTGTTTTTAAGAGAAAAGGGGCTCCCCATGGCAACCACAAATTCACCTTGACGCACATCAGATGACTTGCCAAGACGCAACGTGGTAGAGGATTCTAGGACAAGATGGAGAAAACAATGACACTATGTAAGACTATATGGTCATGTACTAGAACTGTGGTAAAAGAAAACTGAAAAATTAATAGCAAAAATGGCTTTCCAAACATAAAAGCCTCCTCTGTTACTGTTCAAGGCTCAAAATTAACCTTTTTGTTTGGTAGCACCGGTGCTCCTAACTTAAAAAATGTAGGCGCATCAGACAAAATTTTGTCGCACCCACCAATTATAAGCAACGTTACTACATGTTTTATACAAACAGAGTAATTGCATTTGAAATCAACACTAATCAAACTAAAAAGCAAAAAAAAAAAAAAAAAAATATATATATATATATATATATGCATGCGTGAGGAAAATATGTCTCAACGAAATCCCGTTATTACAAGTAAATAGATTTTATAACATAACTGAGTGACCAAAGCATACACAGACCGCTGTGCTGTTCTCATGGGTGGTGTCTGATATTGCACTGATGCTTTTGACATGTACTGTACCCTATTATATGCATACATCATGTTAATAGCTATACCGGTCTTCATGAGTAGCGATAATAGTTTTCTCGGCTCAAGCCTGTTTGCCACTGTGTACGTGGTGTTACATTTTACATATAGCTGCCACTTGCACGGCGGGCATCTGGGGATTATATGAAGGATAAAACAGAAGCTCTCGTGCAAGATGTGGCAAACAGTTACCTGAAAATTCCATCCCACAGACTTTTCATAGCGGACTTGAAGCCAATGGAAGTCTTTTATCCACTCTTTGAAAAGTGTAGATGTGTGATTGACATTCAGCACATGATCACTACTGAGATGTGTCATTATTTGTAACTTTAGATGACAGTTTCTAAAAAAACATCTGTCAGTGTAATCTTAATTCTCATCTTCAGCGCTTTATAATTTTTCGCAGTAGTAGCTCTCCCAGTCATCCCAAACCAGAAGGCATTGACTGAGTGATTGACAGCTGATATTAACCAATCCATTCACGCTCTGTTCTAGAGCAATGGCCCAATAAGAAGAGCTCAAAGGCGGGGCAAGTATTATGAACTTGGCTTTGTTTACTGCAGCAAGTTGACATGACAACTGTTGTAAACCATTCCTAAGAACTACGTTTCACATTTCAAGAGCAGAGATGCATTCTGCGTGAATGTCCTCCAAATCCGTGCATATGGTGAACACTTTGCAGTAAAAACTGGCCGCACACATCAATTTTATGCACTCGCAAAAATGCTTCCAAATATATTTTGAGGTCGCATAGATAAAATTTCGGGCGCATAAGTGACCGAAATGGTCGCAATTTCGAGCCCTGCTGTTGGTTTAACTAAAAATATTGACAATAATTATTCTTTAGTTGCTGTAATATTTCTGTTTAAAAATCTGAGGATACAAAACCAAATGTCACTAAGGTTATCACAATTTCGAGTTTATTTCCATATTTGTATGCAGCTGTTACTCCTGAAATATTACAGCGTGTATGTAGCATAAATACACTACAAACAGATTAATGGGTTAACACCAGGGCTTGACATTAACACCCACCAACCGCAGGTAGACTTCGGCTGTGGCGGATTAGACAGCCACTCCCACTATCCACTTTGGCTGGTCGAAAATCATTTTTAAATTGTATTTTTTTTTAAAAGCAGGGTTCGACAATAAGGATGAACCTCTAGAAATGAGAAGCAGCTCGACTGACAAAAACAACTGTGTTCATGCAAGCAAAAGAAAGCAGATGAATACAGAATGTTAAGTGATGCGCGCAAGTTTTACAAAGCGTGCACACTCTCATTTCCTTGCGTGAAGCAACCTTGACTGGAAACACAATGCTGCGATCGGTTCTGTTTGAAATAGACTGGACAAAAAGTGATACACATCCTCCATTTTCAAGAGCTCGAGATTTTTTAAAAAGAAGGTATTTTATGTATGCAGCAGCAGTTGCAGCTTTAGCTTTAAACAATCTTTGAACAGATTATTAATGGGCCTAACGTTAACTGTGTGCTTGTGATCATCCTTTCATTATTGCACACGGCATGTTTTTCACCTGCTTTCTTTTTGTTAATATGATTTAATTATCATTCTTTTCAGTAATGTTGATTTAATAGATTAACTTTTATGCAAAGTTAACTGCTGATCTGAGACCTTAAGCTAGGACAGACAGCTTTGCATAGTTTTAGACAGGCTACATGACAATAATTGTTATTTAAGTTTTATTTAATAAAAAGTGTATGAATATTATAAAATATATTTTGCTGGTTTTTGAATTTTTCTAATTATAAACTTTTTAGAGAAAAAATTGGTACAACCTTAATGTTGAGCCCTAAAATAATAACCAATTACAATGCAACACCATGAAACCACTACCACTCATGCTCATTGAGCAAAGTCATACACAACACATCTAAATCAAGTAATTTTGCAAATATTTTTCCCAAAAACAAAAGTGAAAATGGCGAGTGGCTAGTAAAGTTGAAAAACTACTAGCCATATAGGCTGGTGATCAAAAAAAGTTAATGTAGATCCATTAAAATATTAAAATCATATTGACCTCACACTTTTAAAGTACTAACTGTGATACATTTTTGATTCTTTAAGCTCAATTCTTAAATAAACACAGTTCAAAAAGAAATTACTCATTTGATAAAGACATTTTACTAAAAATGTAAATTAATAAAATAAAATGAGTCCTTATTCTTATCATATAAAACTATGACTCATTAAAAATAGGGATGCACCGATACCATTTTTTTATAACCGATTTGATTTCGATCCCAAAATTCTGATTGTCGACCAAAACAGATGCGATCCCGATACTGTGCCATTTTTCTTTTAAGCATAATATAGTTTCTATGGTGATAAACTCAAACAATATATCTTGTTTAGTAAAAATACAAGACGTATAGGCCTACTGTATATGACAGACGACACAATCTAACTGAAAACATGATGCTTGCTGTAAACCAGGAAACAATATTTGAGCATTTGTTAAGACATTGATCTGTTGTGGTCCAGCTTATGTTTCTTTTTAATAGTAAGATTTTTCTTTGAACTCTGCAACAGCCAACCACTATTGACCCTAATCAAAACACAAACTGGTCTGTTAAAAAAACTATCGATATAAATAAAATTACAGTCAAATATTCACAGTTTTCAGAGTAACCTATATGAGGCTAAATTATTTTCTGTTAATGACAATCAATATTGTGCCTGTCAGTTTCACTTGTATTAATTTAACCAACAACTTTAACCACAATGAGCCAGGCTTACAAACTATCCTAAAAGTATTCCCCTAGGAAGAATAAACTCAGTCGGATAATTCTACAGAGCGGCACACGTCACATCAGCCGGTGTGTGAATGAAGTGCTTGATGCATCACTGAGACAGCGCGCAGTCCTCCGCTATCTGCAGACACTTCCAATCCAAAACAGCAGTAAAAAGGGAAGAAATCAGTGCGTTAAGGATCTGTCCAATGTATTATTGAGCCTTTTCTAGTTTTAAATTTCAGGTAGGCCTACTTTGTGTGTGAAGAGCAGGTAGTAATCCACTCAGTTCCAGTGTTGTGAATGCGATCATCTGATCCAACAGACACAGCGCTACATGATTCAGAAACAGCAATAAACTCCTCGTTTCAGGTCGAAATGAACCAATTTAATGCAAAACTAAATGCATTTCTCCACTGATTATTTATATTAACAGGAACAATTAGTCTTGGAGAAAGTTTTAAAATAGAAGGCTTTAGACCGAAAATAGGAGATGTTAAACTTTCTGCACCGGCTTATATTCCAAATCCTGTAAATATTTCACTGAATCATAATAACCTACAGTGCTTCAAAATCATAGAACAGGAAGAGCTAGATAAAATCATAAATAGTTCTAAAGCAGCTACGTGTATGCTGGACTCAATTCCAACAAAATTACTGAAAGAACTGCTACCTGCTATAGGAGAACCTCTTCTTAACATTAACAACTCTTCTTTATCTATAGGCCATGTTCCAAACTCTTACAAGCTAGCTGTTATTAAGCCTATTATTAAGAAACCACAACTGGACCCCAACAACTTAGGTAATTATAGGCCTATTTTAAATCTTCCATTTCTGTCTAAAATACTAGAAAAAGTTGTTTCTACTCAATTATGCTCCTTTCTGCAGACAAACAATATTTTTGAAGTGTTTCAGTCAGGTTTCAGGGCTCATCACAGTACAGAAACTGCATTAGCGAAAATAACCAATGATTTACTCTTAGCTGCTGACCAAGGGTGCATCTCGCTATTAGTTCTACTCGATCTTAGTGCGGCATTTGACACCATTGACCACAATATCCTCATAAATCGCTTAAAGTCTACAGGTGTCCAGGGACAAGCTCTACAATGGTTTAAGTCATACTTAACTGACCGTTACCAGTTTGTGAATATTAATGGACAGCCTTCACAAGTCAGCCCAGTAAAGTATGAGGTGCCTCAAGGATCAGTTTTAGGCCCTTTGCTGTTTACAATTTACATGCTACCTCTGGGAGACATTATTAGAAGACATGGGATAAGATTTCACTGCTATGCAGATGATACTCAATTATATATTTCAACTAAACCTGATGAGATGTCTGAACTGTCTAAGCTAACTGAGTGTATTAGAGATGTTAAAGACTGGATGACCAACAATTTTCTTCTATTAAACTCAGACAAAACAGAATTATTACTTATTGGACCTAAATCCTGTACACAGCAGATCTCGCAACTCAATCTACAATTAGAGGGATACAAAGTTAGCGTTAGCTCTACTATAAAAGATCTGGGTGTTATATTAGACAGCAATTTAAATTTTGAAAATCATATATCCCACGTCACAAAAACTGCCTTCTTTCATCTGAGAAATATCGCTAAATTACTAAGTATTGGATGCAGAAAAGCTAGTCCATGCTTTTATGACTTTTAGGCTGGATTACTGTAATGCTCTATTTGCTGGCTACCCAGCATCCTCTATTAACAAACTTCAAATAGTACAAAATGCACCTGCCAGAGTTCTTACCAGGTCTAGAAAATATGATCATTTCACCCCAATTTTATCCTCCTTACAATGGCTGCCTGTTAAGTTTCGTATTGAATTTAAAATATTACTTCTCACCTATAAAGCTCTAAATAATCTAGCTCCTGTTTTTCTAACCAACCTTCTGTCTCGCTACAATCCAACTCGCTCTTTAAGATCTCAAAACTCAGGGCTTCTGGTAGTATCTAGAATAGCAAAGTCGAGTAAAGGAGGTCGAGCCTTCTCCTTTATGGCTCCTACACTCTGAAATAGCCTTCCTGATAACATCCGAGGCTCAGACACACTCTCAGTTCAAAACAAGATTAAAGACCTATCTGTTTAGTAAAGCATACACTCAGTACATCACTTAGCCGGTTTCCACACAAGTTTCTACATCTTGTTTATTATGAACAGCAGCTACGTTAATTATTCTCTTTTTTTTTCTCCATTTCCACCTGGGGATACTCATTCCGAGGTCTTTAGATTATGCGGAGTCACTGATTGGATCCAAGACCAGCGACGAGATGATCCCAAGGTGTCCATATCCAGGACCAGGCCGTATCCTGAGCTGCTGCTGTGCTGGTGGTCATGGGGGAGTGGAGAGCATGAGACTGATTCCAGTGACCAACCAGGGACAGACTAGTCTTCACTGAGGCCAGCTTCCAGCCTTTACCGTTGAGACTGCAGCTCTACTAAGCGGCTGCTTAGGGCCCCGTGGCCACCAGGGGGCCCCCAAGAGTGCTTGAAATTATTGTGTGACTTTCGTTTTAGTTTGTTAATTTGTGGATTAGTGGTGGAACAAAATATATGCCCATTTATAGTGTTATTTCTGACCGCGATACATACTCAGGCGCCAAGATATTTACCTAAATTTACAAAAGATCTGATTTAATTAATCAGTTTTCAACACCGACTGCAGCAGATAACCGCTTTAGCTACAGTACACCCAGCCGCCACCAGGTGGCGCTTCCCGTAAGGGCGTATCATTAGACATACACCAGCGTCATGTAAACCACTGAGTCTGAGAGATGAGCCATTGCAATGGTGAATATCTCAGGCATACAGACACTTTCTTCTGTCCAAGCTGGGCCAATGTATTTGTGTGTTTCAGACATCCAGCTCCCCAGTTTTTGCCACTAGTTTCTTTCTAACAGACACGCTTTTACTTCGCTATATCGCTCGTGCGTGCCTGCGGCCAGTGCAACTTCTTATGCGCTCAAACTTTTTAACTCCGCCAAAATATATAAAGATATATAGGACATAAACATTTAATTAGAAAGGCCTTGCGTTTATTTCACTCTTACAGACCTTGTCAAAATCTTGTAGATGGTATTTTGGCAAAAAATATTAGGGGAATTAAAAAACTTAAATATGTGAGTAAATAACTAATGTTCTCCACTGTTGAAAACATACGTGCCCAGAGGAGTCTGTGCTCACCTCTCAGAGCATTCTGATCAGTTGAAAAAATAGTGGGAATACATATTTTTTTTTATTAAAAATAAACCAGGGCTAAGCATAAAATGTTTCCATGTTTACATAAAATTAGTTGGTCAAGTTGTAATAATTGTATATAAATTGCAATAAATTACTATTTTGGCAGTTTTTTTCTTAAATGCATATTCCACTAAATTGAGATTTTGCTGCTGTGATAGAGATGTGCTCTCTTCAGTCATAAACTGCTCTCTGCACATCAGCATTTTTAAGCTTGTTTGACAGATGAGCACTTGTTTTACATTGTTGCAATTCTATAAATGCGTGTTTATAAAAGAAATTCATCATAAATTTTTGATGCATTTTCCCCCTTCATTTACCAAAATTGTGATATATTGTGGCTGGTTTTCTTGTGATCTGTCAATATATCGCAGAATCTTTGATATCGTGATTGAAGCAGCAGTGCCCGGAACAGCAGCAAAATGCTTTTTCATGAACTTGGCGATTAAAAAAAATAAGCTTCTGATTTATACAATTTAGAGTTGGTAATACACTGCAAAATTATTTTCTTTCTTATAGTTTTTGTGTGATTTTGTAGTCCAAATATCTAAAAATTCTTAAACCAATAAACATTTTCTAGAAAGATTTTTTGTCAAAATTATGTGAATTTGTCATTAAAAAAAGCTCAATAATCTGACAATTAGGGTAAATAAAAAAAAGATTGTTTTATGTTTTAAATAAGATTATTTTACTTACCTCATTGGCAGATTAATTTGTTTTACAAAAAAAATCACTTAATTTAGAATTATTTCTGAGAACTGAAAATTTTTTGTACATATTTATTAATTTGATTTATATGCGAGTATGTCTAGAAAATGCTTCCTGATTTAGTTTGATTTTAATTTAAATAGATGTTTTAAGTTATTTGAACTACAAAATACAATATGGTTTTTTTTCAGTATTAACATTTATATCCAATTAAAAAAGAAATTATCTTTATTGTCACTATGTTTGTATGTTTATTTTGCAAATAGTCATATAAAAAGTTGGATCAATAGGAAGTTGTTTCTGCAGAATAATATTTAGAATTGTCTTAAAACATATATTTTATGATGTAAGCAACACAGCTACAGCGAACAAAATCAATAATGTGTGTTTTAAATTTATAGTGTGGGAATTATCAAGGATTGATGATAATTTATCATATTGTTTGCACCAAAGGGGCCCCAAATAAAATCCTGCTTAGGGCCCCCTGAAGGCTTGGGCCGGCCCTGGTGAATTGATTTTAATTAATGAATAGGTTAACACATTGCTTAATATAAGAATGTTCAGTGCATTTGCCTGTCTCTTTATAACTATTTTCAGAAGCCACCAAACTAGGTCAAGATATAAATGGGAAAGAAAAATCTTGTTTCCATTTCAAAATGTCTTTCGGGAAACATGTTACCCACAATGTGTAAAGCAATTTGAGTGTGCAGAAAAATTTGTTATTATTTATTCATTTCTATGTGAAACACTTTCATGAGCCCATTTAGCCAATAAGACAAAAACATAGTTTTACTAAAGTAAGCTTACATTTATCCACACAAAATAAACCTGACTGTATTTTTTGTAGTAAAGCCAAGGTTAATTGTGTTAAATATGCCATTTCAGCCTGCAGAATGGCATTTCAAACTGTGGCCTAACAAAAATATAGAAAATAAATATCGAGTTTCTGTAATATAAAACTAAATAATTCCTCTCCCTGTATAGTTCCTAAGGTTATCTAGTGTAATATTAAGGTAAACAAATGTAATATTAACAGAATCACTTAATTAGCAATCAATCTGACTGATGTTAACGTTGAAGATTTGATTGAGCTTTTAAGTAAAACAATAATTAGTTTAACGTTACAGTACCGTTAATATAACATTAATATTTACATTACAGTTACATTAAGTTGCATCAATGTTAGCATTAGCATCAACTGCTAATTAGCGCTAGCTAACTAGCCTGTGTGACATACAGTAATAAACGTAAGATCTAATTACACTGACTTTAATATTCATTGGTTTAATTTGTAATTGTTTATTTTATTTATGTTATTTTTTCTTTTTAATTCGCATTTTTCACAAAGTGAAGGCGGGGACTGTTGACTAACGTTAGTAGCTCTAAATTAGTTGACTGGAACGCTGTGATGGTGTTAGCATGTAGCATGTTCACACATAAAATAAGTACAGTTCGCAATTAAAACCATTACCTACCTTTTGTTGTAACTTAATAAAATCTACTGCAATTGATGTCAACAAAGAGGTTTAATCCACAAGAATTTGATCCTTATTCCTACCTGTTAGCATTCAGATCGGTTCAGTCCTAATATGTTAGGCTAGAGTGGGTTATTTTTTGCGAATGAATCTGTGGACTTAAATAAATTGTGAGAGTCGATTCATCCTTGACATATTCATAAACACAACAGTTGCTTTGTTGCTGAATAAATGTCTTATTCACTTAAGACAGTGTCCTACCACCACCTACTGGCGGTTTCAGGTAATACATGGATAACTTCATTTTGTTGCATATTTTTCTTTTTAATTTATTATTTGAAGCATTATTCATTTAAAAAGAATTCACAAGAATAACGAATTTATATAATCATAATATATAAAATATAATATAAACGATAATAATAATACTGTTAAAATGATAAATAATTGATAATGAAAATATAAAATAACCGAAATGAGCTACTCAAAATAAATGAAAAAATCACACAGACACACACACACACGCACGCACGCACACACACGTATAAATATATATAAACATGGCAATAATTGTAATAAAAATTAAAACGCAGAAAAAGTTGTGCATGACAGAAAAAATACATAGGCCTAAGTGCAAAATTAATTTAATTAATAATTGGAAAAAATGTGTATAAGCAGGTGGCTGTGTGAGCACATTAAGGCGAATGAGCCAGTCAGTCTAGCGCGGGCCTGCATTACAAGTTTGTTGTGTTTTAAAAAGTCTCTACGTAATCCCAAATGGAATTGTGGAACTCTGACATCATCAGTGACAGTATAAAGCTTTTTGACGTAGCAGAAACTCTCATTAGCTTCTTTGGATGTCTAGTAGTTCAGTACTTTCTGCGATTCAACAGTACAGTGATACAATGGCATTTTCAAAACTGATTAACCGTCTGAAGAAAGCGTTTGGTGTTAAGTGTGCGAACGAACAACCGTGTGAGCCACTCGAACCCACCGGCAGCACGACAGAGAATCACCGTCATCTGATGACCGATGACCCGGCCGTCGCTGCAGGAAAACAGGCAGGGAGACAGAAAAAGAGGAAACTCAAATTGTCTCCCATCTTCTTCGCCTGTTTTTCCAGAAGAAGAGCTACTGTTGTTGGTAAAATAGATTTATGAGCACTTTTAATTACTAAAGCATACTGTTAAACACACCAAACACATCACATAAGTGTTTAAAGATCAGAAATAAACATTAACTGGAAGACATTTTAGAAAGAGTTTCTTAAAGCCACAGTTCACATAAACAAGACAATTCTGTCATAATTTACTCCTTAAACCTGTTTGAGGTGCTTTCAGCCATTGACTTCCACAGTATTTTGTGTTCCTACAATGAAGGTTAATGGCTGCTGATTTCAGGAATTTTCTTCAGAATTTGTAGTTTTGTGTAAAAAACAGAAAAAATAAGAATTATTTGTATTAGGATTTTTATTTCAGTGAGCTTTGCCTTTAGATATATAGTTTACTTGTTTGCTAATTCAATGCAGAAAACCCATGAAGATCATTAATAAAAACACATTGAGTAATGTTTCTGCAAATGAACTGTTCAAATATCTTGTCAAAAAGAGTTGTAGAGTCATATTAATGATGTTCCTTCCTCTCTTTAGATCAGCTATGTGTGCAGGAGATCCATGAACTTCACGCAGAGCCCATCAGTAGCTCTAAATTCTTCTGCACTGCTGCGAGCAACCTGGAGCTGGAAGTTCTCCAACCTCCAGCTCTTGATGCTCCAGCAGACGAAGATTTGGACTTTAAGCCGGAAGTGAACAGCTTTGACTCTGCAGTGGTCATTGAGAACGACTCTGCAGAGCTTCACTTCACAGAAGACATTGAATCCTCCCTCAGTGAGGACAGCCTGGAGCAAGAGCTTGATAGTCCTCCAAGTTCACCATCCGATGAGGACAATGAACTTCCAGTGAGCCAGCAGCTCATAACAGATGACATCTGTGACTCTGCCCTGGATGAAAACTGGAACCCTTTACCGGATCAGGTCTCACAAGAGGACTCTGCTGTGAAGTCTACAGCAGATGATGGGACCTGCTTGGACAATAGTAAGTTTATTGCTGGAGTTCAGAACATTTGTTTAGGCTCATCAAACTTTGTAAAATTATACAGTTGAAGTCAAAATTATTCGCCCTCCTGTGATTTTTTATTAATATTTTTTAAATATTTCCCAAATGATGCAGAGCAATAAAGTTTAAGTATTCAGAACTTTAAGCTGAACACAGGTATCTTGAAAATATCCAGTAAATATGATGTACTGTCATCACGACAAAGATAAAAGACATCAGTTATTAGAAATGAGTTATTAAAACTATCATGTTCTGAAATCTGACAATAATTCTGACTTCAACTGTTTGTGTTTTTATTTGGTTTATAATTTAATGACATTTTCTTCATTTTTAACAGATGACATCAGCTGCCGCTACAAACTCGGAAAGCAGCTTGGTGAAGGAGGTTTCGGCTCCGTGTATGAGGGGATTCGCATACAGGATGGTCTGCAGGTATTCATTTTTGTAGACTCAAATCCTCTGATGAAGTTCCCTGTTTAAAGAACATCATCAGAGCTTTCATTGTTTGGACATTTCTGCTGACGAATGAATCCTCTGTTCAGGATTTATGACTGAATGAAATGATCTCCGTGCACATGTTAATTGTTCGCTTGTTCCTTTAAACAGGTGGCAGTTAAATTTGTCCAGAAGACCCCAAATATGCAAGATGTCAGCTCTGTGAGTAGACTACACTTTCTGTTCGCTGTGTTCAGTTTATAAAGTCTTATATTTATTATAGACCACAGGCTGTGGTCAGAAACCCTTGTTTGAAAACCAACATTATTATTTTGTTTTCAGTCATGTGACCAGCCACTTCCTTTAGAGATCACCTTGGCAAACATGGCCAGCGGTGGCTCCAGGTGTTCGAACATTATTCAGCTTCTGGACTGGCAGATCTTTAAAAACCATTACGTCATGGTGATGGAGCGGCCTAGTCCAAGCATGGACCTGGAGGCATTCCTTGAAGTCAGCGGAGGAGTCCTTAGTGAGAAAACAGCACATACCATCATGAGGCAAGCTGTTTATGCGGCCAACGTGTGCTGTTACCGCGGGGTGTTCCACCGGGACATTAAGCTTCAAAACCTGCTGGTGAACCCCGACACACTGGAAGTCAAGCTGATCGACTTCGGGTGTGGAGACTTCATGATGGAATCAGCCTACAGTATCTTCTCTGGTAGGTGTTTTGAATAGTGTGGTCAAAAGTATCGACTTCGGTACCAATCGATTCTGACATTTAACAAGTCAATTTGAGCGCTGTTAAACACCACTGATTGGCCATTGGTGTTCACATGCTCAGCAAATATGACTGTGATGAGTGTCGGTATCGATTGGTAGTTGATACTTTTGACAACACTAGTTATGAATGTGCATAAGCATTTTTAATAAACGTATTGAAAGCTGATTAATTAGCACAGCTGAAGCCCATCTGGTATATATATTCAACATGATGCTAAACTAAACGTCTCTCCTCCAGGCACAGAAGCGTACATCCCGCCAGAGTTTTATGAAAAAGGATGCTACCGGGCCAAACCAGCGACGGTCTATTCTCTTGGGGTTCTTCTGTTCACAATGCTCCATGGAGAATTCCCATCAGCGTATGACCTGTACTACCTCCAACATGACTGGTCCAAATTTACCCTCTCTCAAGGTGAGATGTTCATCAAAGAACAATTAAGTGAAACAGCTTAATAATAATAATAACAATAACCTCACCTCTCCATTTCTTCTTCACAGAATGCTGTGATATGATGAGGGCTTGTCTGCATGAGAATCCAGAGTGCAGAATTCCTCTAGAAGAGATGCCTTACCACGACTGGTCCATGCTGGAGTTCTGAGTCACATTAGCAGAATGTTTTGTATATTTGATTTTTGTACATGTCTGTAATAAAGATATATTTTATTGAACTCACTTGTGTTGTGGCTTATATTGTGATCTAGCCCCAGTGTTGTCAGATTGTGTGGATTTAAAATGGTTTTGTATGGGGTGACAAAAATTTGGCATGAGGTTTGAACAGCATCCAGTCCTTTCCAACACACACTGCAGTTGACACTGGCGTCATTACGGCGCACTTTTAGAAATACACTTTTTCAGAATGCTGTACAGCGCTGACCCAAAACCTAAACATATCAGTCACTGCGACATAAGCAAATCATCCATAAATATTCCAATGGTTTATTGTGAAATCAGAGCTGTTCAAAAAAATGTATTAAAATACAAACGTCGTAACATGAGAATGTGAGATTCAATACAAAACATCAGCATTTTCACAATAAGAGCACCCAGTTTTATTAAGGTCTTTGAGTGTTTGTTGCCATCATGACAATCCTAAACAAAATATTCAGTGATATTCCTTCAAATCAATACTGATAGTGTAGTTTGCGCAGACACACTGAGGTTTATCCAGTGTACAGAAGTCTGAATCATCCACATTATTTCATACGCTTCCAGAAACACGTTTACTACACGAATGTCCAGCGTTTGCTACAACTGTTCAACTCTTTAGATGATTCCTTTCTTACAACATCTCCAACTATGACAGCTTCTCATTACTCACCATTTCTTAATCTTACTAAATACTTGACTTGATGTCACTCTGTGGACTCTGGGGTCATGTGCAGCATGAGCAGGTCGGCCCCCCGGCGGACCACCACATTTAAGCTTTCGCTGGTCCTCACAGCATTATATATCTCCTCCATTTCGGCTCTGCAAAACAGAAAACAGGAAATGACATCATCAAAAGGATGCCTTAATCAACAGCTGATAACATCATGTTCAGAGAGCAGCACACCTGTTGGCTGGAAATCCTACAATCACACGGTGGATGAGAACTCCATGAGAAACATCAGGGAAGGACGGGTCTCGCATCCTTAGCTCATCGATTATACTGAGGAGGGGAAAAAGAGAATTTAAAGATAATAAAAGACTCACTTCAGTGCAAAGTTTATGGTTTAAGGATTGATTGATAAATAGATAAGATAGATAGATTCATAGATAGATTGATTGATTAATTGATAGTTTAATAGACAGATCAGCAAAACAATCAATATTACATTTGCTTCAACCAAAAACACTTCAATGTCTGCGGTTTAATTACTCTTGCTAATAACATAGTAAAAACATCTGAAAAGCATTATTCC